TTTGATTACAAAATTTTTTGTAATCTCCTCTCCCTTTGTTAATAGTAAAACTTTACTATTGCGCTTCACCCCGTGAATATAAGCTTTTGAATCGATTGATGAAAAATTGTGTTCTGTATTTTTCTATTTCGTACCTTTTGGTTGTTTCTGGCCTTTGTTCATAACATAACAAGTGTTGTCAAAGAACAAAAGTGAATATCAATTTACATAGTGACTTATTTTATTTGCCTATTTTGTTTTCATCTGTAAGCATATATACAGAGAAATTCTTTGTGATACTCTCTTCCTTGCACAAAGACTCTTCTAAGAACAAGTTTTCACAAACAATGGCTCCCAGGGATGTTTTGTAAGGGGGTATGTGGGGGCTTGGCAAGGTAGGTTTGAGAAAAATAGTCTAAAGCTCTCTCAAATCTCATGTTTGTATGAAAAATTTAGTCCCAATTTTTTAAATCCGGCTCGTAACTGGCCTAAAGATTAAACTCATGATCATGAGTTTCATCAAACCTAGGAGGAGGTGGGTTTGCAAAGATGGATAAGGGTTTAAGGATCCAAAAGGCAATTGTCCCCTTTTATATGTGTATGAATTGAATTGATCAAAGGTAAAATAGTTATTTATAGGACAAATAGTTGTCAATAATTATAATATATCCGTGTATCCTATATGTGTATGTGTTGCATACCAAACATGGGTATGGACCGAAATGAATGTTGAATCCTATCATTGCAAAGAGGGGTTTGAGTTTGGAAGGGTTTGGAGAAGCCAATCCAAACCCCACTCCAAAATTCATCCAAATAAGCCCCTAGAGTTTTGGTTGGTGCTCTGCTTCTATTAGGTTAGTATGTCAAAGCTGAAAAATTTGTTGAGATTATAGAATGAACAATATATACGAGACGAGTTGACAATTCAAACGTTTTGAATTTGAATCTTGGCAATTCCTTGGGATCAAGTCATGATAAATTTATCCTCCATGAATACTCTAATTCCAGTGTGGATGACCTGTCTTTGACCGGATTGAAAAAAGAAAATAACAACAAAAGAGCCACATAACCCAAAAATATCATGTAGAGAAACATTAGAGGCCACCTTTACCCTTCAAATGTCTCATCATTTTTATTTTTGTCCAAAGAATAAATTAGTAAGTGTTTGGATTTTTCCCTTGGATTGGAAAGATTCACATCTTCAGTACATTAATTTTTATGACAAAGGTCATTGCGAGTGTATATAGCTCCTAGTTTGAGAGTTCAATCCCATTACATGAACTTTTGAGGTATCATTTATAAAGATAAACACTTGTCATCGCTTTAGATCAACTTCTATAATTAATTTTAAAAATTAGTTTAAAAAGTGCTAACCCTTTACGGATATAATAATAATAATAATAAAATAGTAGAAATTTGAATTTTAGAGATTGATGATGCTCGAAAATAACGGCCCAAGCCAAACAAATGATGTTCTGGGGTCGTTAGTAGATTAGTTGAGTCAGAGGACAGTCCATAGAGAATAAAACAACACGAAGTGTAAATGGTTCACCTTAGCCGGAGGACTAAGGTTACATCCACTGTAAGAGAGTCTTTTACTCCTTGAGGTTGTATATTGATTTTTGGTGAATACAACGATACTATAGGCGTTGGACCTTTACAAGAACTTGAGCTTCCTGTTCTTTTTTCAATGTTTAGGGCTTTTGAGTGTAATGGGAAGTTGATCCTCTTTTCTGTTGGGTTAACAGTGTTCTATTTATACCGGTGAACTCCTTTAGGGTTTTTGTGGCTCCCTCTTCCTTTTAGTTGATACTGTGGGACCTTCCATCATTATCGAACAACAGCCTTTGTTGCTCAATGCCATTGTTCCCACGATCCTTGGATGGTTATGCACACCAACACCCTTTGCATCATGTTGTGTTTAATGGCCACGAATGTCAGAAATGGTCCCTTAGTCCTCTGGACACGTGGCGCGGCAGGATGTTCCAGGATTTTGGGCTAGGCTTCTCTATCCTGGACCGTCCTTTGGCTGGACTGGATTGTGCTTAGGCTGGATCGTAGGCCTTGTGGTGCCGTTGGGCTTTGTTTTTTGCCCTTTCTACTCTAGATGTGGGCTAACTATAGGCGCTTCATTTAGGCCATTATGCAAGCAAGGGATTCCTGGACTGGTTGGGCTCTTGGATTATGAAGGCCTATGCCCAATGTTTCGTTCTTGTCAGTTGTCCCCCAGCCCCAAGTCATGAAAATGACTTCATCTCTAATCTAGGGTTAGAAACATCTTTTTCAAATCTGAAACTACTTCTTTGAGAGACGGTTGTGCTTGATTATTGGTTTTGACCTGAGTTGGATTGCGTTAATGTCTGTCGGCTAGGATGAGATGGTTATGCACATGTGTCAACAACGGGTGAGCCCGTAGGTACGATTTTCCTTGCGTGTTCTGTCATACGCCTGTCACAAATTGAATGCCACATACAAAAAGAGGGAAAATCTCTTTGCCTTTCCTACCTTATGGTTTTGGATTCTTCTTCCTTTGTGCTTCCTCCCATCCTTTGGCTTCTGAGGCATCTTGTTCGAGGCTCTATGGCGACTTAGGGTTTCTTCTTTTTCAGTTCATTTTTGCTTCTAGCGTTCTACTAGGTACGTTTCTCTTTCCTTCTTCTTTTTGCTCGACCTGGATCCTTTCAAGCCTCCCTGGTGGGGCTTCGAGTTTCGCTTTCTGATCTAGAGATTTAGTTACTTCAGGGGTCACGCTGATGACCTTTCTTCCCTTTCGCAATTTTTAGATCATTCTTTCTTGTTAAGGGTATCCTTTCTTAGGGCCTGGTGTTTGAGACATTTGTTTTTGACGGATTGTGTCTTGCATTTGCCGTCTCTACACTCTAGTTTACGATCTGAACCTTTGATGGGGAAGTTTCTCATTTCTTCTTCTGAGTCAAAGTTCGAGGAGTAGGTCGATGAGGAGGTTGAGGAGGCTACCTCGGCTTCCTTTCGTGACCGTTCTCTTACGTTGGCGAGGAGGCTTCAAGGTCTGCCTTGGAGTTTCTACCTCAGCTCCTTTAGCAAAGGCTCAGGCTCTTTTAGCTTTGCCTCCTATCCCCTTTATCCAGTCAAGGGAAAGGAAGTCTAAGTCGATTCCGCCTTCTACTTGTAGAAAGAAAACCCATCCTAATCAATCTGACCTGACCTGTTATGCGGAGGCGACTCCTAGTTGTCTCGATAATGAGGATCTGAAGGAGTTGAGGTGAGAGTATCATTTCCCTGATTTTGTTTTAGGAGCGTGAGAGGTGCAATTCCTCTATTCTCGAGTTAACCTATTTCTTCGAATCTGCATTTTGGGCCAATTTTCGATTCCCAGTTCACCCTTTCATTCAGGATGTGCGTAGTTTTTACAACGTTTGCCCAACCTGACTTTCCCCAAACGGCTAGGGCTTTCTAGTCGGTTTCCTCGTTCATTGGTTTGAGAGTGGGAATGACTCCCCTCCCTCCATTCAAGAGTTTGCTTCTCTCTTCCAACTTAAGTCTTCTTCTTCTTTGGGCTTTTTGTATTTCGCCAAAAGAATGAAAGCAAAGAACTTGATTTCTAGGCTCCCCTCCTCCAACAAGGGGTGGAAGCCAAGGTTTTTCTTTGTTAGGGGTGATTCCTGGGGGAGCTGTCAGGAGAGCCTAGCAACGTTCCTCGCATCCCCAGGTTTTGGGGGGTTCCAAGGAATACCAATAAGACTAATTGATTAGTTGTGCTTTCCTTTCTTTTTTTGTTTTTATGTCTTGCTAATTTTTTATCGGCTTTCAGATTTCTGACCGACACTTAATGCGGAGGAGGCAGCCAGGGTTGCTAGAGCTGAGGCCTTTGGACCACAATCCTTCTTTAACCTAGTGACCGATGAGAACCTTGCTAAGTACGAGCTCGAGCCAAGCAAGGCTCTTGCTAATTGCTAATGCACGAGTTTGTAATTTGTTATTTTTTTTTGTCATTTAGTACCTTTAACCACAGATAATTACTAGTATATATATATGAGACAAAGGATAATATCAATAATGAAATGGACACAGATAAGAGCCACCTACCAAGAAACAAGAATAAATTTGCATAAATGGTCCACTTCTCTTTGTACATTAGTACATCATCATAACATAAACTTGTTCTATACCACCAACCGATCACCCATGTGATCTGCATGTTCACTCTTTTAACTGATTAATTACTTAATCTTTTGAATTAAGAAAATATTATTTCTATTATATGATTTTTTTTCCATATTTTTCCTCATTAAAGACAGAGATTAAAGTGCAGGCCTAAGCGTGATATGATTTCGCGATTTTAAGCTTTAAATGATAAGTGTAGTAGGACGAGATTGTCATCATTGAACTCACTCCATAGACAACAAGAGAACGGGAATCAAGAAACTACTGTGGATCGTCTATCTTCAAGACTATCAGCACAGTCAGCATCTGAATAGGTTGTAAGAAATCCTTAGGGTGATTTAGTGGTTAGGCTTGTCTTTTAGTAATTCAGATATTTCAGGTTCAATTTTTTTCTCACACTTCTTAAGGGTTAACCACCGTTATCCCTTTGGGGACATGTTCTAGACTAGCTCTAACCATGGGGGCTAGCCACTGATCTCGAAAGAGTAGTTGGCGCAACCCTAAATATCCTGTAAAAAAAAGAGAGATAGAGAAAGAATAGACCATAAGATGAAGAAAACTAGATTAAAAAAATAAGTGAACAAGATAAAAAAATACTCTTGAGATTGCGTCAAATACGTTTGACAGCAGATGCAATGCACAATAGTAAGAGAGTGCATTTTATATAATAAAGAAGATAGATTGTTTGTCTTGAGTTTTTCGCGGCTCAGATCATTTGAGAAGATTATTGATCTAACTTTCAAATTCTTATTTTGTCTTGAGATTTTCATGGCTTAAATTATTTTTTCTTGAGCAATTTTTTATTGCCCGTACCTGAATACACGAAAAAATTAAAAAAATTATCAATTATAAATATATTTGTATTCACATTCAATCAAATCACAAATATAGAAAAATGAGAAAGGAATTTAAACACCAGTTATAGTATGGGTGAGCGGTGGTAGTGGTGGGAGACAGTGATTGTTGAGGTGGACGGATGCAACGACCATGGTAGTGGTGTTAGCCATGGGTGGCAACGATGATGGTGGTGATAGATATTGGGTGACGATGATGATAGTAGCAAAGTCATTGGTGACCGCGGTGGTGAAAGGGCGACGACGGTGGTGGTGGTGGTAGCGGTGAGATCAAGAATAAGAATCCCTTCATATGATGCCATCTTCCTCCCACTAGCTACTAGAGTAGAACATGGTTTGGCATATTTCTCCCCCGCTCTCACACACAATTTATGCTTGTAGAATGCATGAAGTGCTTGGTTAGACTGGTCAATTACAAGCATCTTGTTAAGTTATTCTCTCACTCTCTCTCTCTCTCACAAACACAAACAAACATTTATGTTTTTCCTTGCAGCGAAAACTTATTGGATGATCAAGAATAGTTGTTAGCAATGCATCGGAGATGAACCGAAAGCTCAACCGGCTTAGACATCATGGCCATGTGATCGCTTCTTGTGATCTCCACCACTTCATTGGGGGATTTTTCTCGACCATCCATCGTTGAAATCCCTTCTTTACTAGCTTGTCTTCATCACAAATTGCGAAAACTCGGTCAACCGAACCATATCTCTTGCTCGACATCATCAGCACCTTTGACATGTCTTCATCGCTGTACAAACGCAACGGCCTAAGCAGCAACATTGCCAGTGCCAAATCCTGTGAGAAATGTGGCAAAATGATAAGAAACATCGTTTGACAATGGTTAAATTTCATGCTCGTTTATGCATAATTCAATGTTTTAAGCATGGGTAAATTATATTTTACCTTGAACTATTACACTTGTTTTATTTTGTACTCTCAACCTTAAAATTTCTCATACTACATTTTAAAGTATCAATTTTATTTCATATCACTCAAATAGTTAACGATTGTTAATTTTTTGACAGATTAAAATAACAAACTTGAAAATCAATTAAAGGAGAGGGGGAAACTCCAAAGTTTTCCACTAAGTGTTGCTGACAAGAAAAAGAAGGTCAGTCAGAAGAAAAAGATTTGGAACTTAGGAAAGGCAAAATTATGGATATATATTTTTCTTAATTTTTGATTTATATATGTGCAATAGACAGTTGTTTATTGGCAGTACAAACCACTCACATGCACATTATTGTTAAAAAAATGATAATCATTATCTATTGGAGTGATATAAAACAAAATTGATATTTTAGAGTACAATGTAAGAAATTTTATAGTTGATAGTATAAAGTAAAATAAAGGTAATAGTTCAAGGGGATAAGGTGTAATTTACCCTTTTTTCGGGTGAAATAATTTACACTTTAAGCGTTCCAATTCCGCATACCTCAATTGGGCTGAGCTGAAATACATTTGTTGCTGAGAACAAGGGGCCCAAGATGAAGGTGGTTGGAGGATTGTTGGGTCCATCATCATATGTATAACGACTGTCGAGTATAGATTCTTGTCTCCTGAATGACTTTGACAATGAATAGAAGTAATGAATGACTTTGACAATGAATAGAAGTAATTAGCCACGAGAATAAGTTAATGTACAGAGGTGTCCGGTTATGACATGGCAAGTAATGGGATGACAATTTGACTCGTATTGATTTTGTATTAGTGTAATGTAAAAATTATTGTCCTCAAAATAGTAAGTAACCTTTTTTTGTTGTCATACAAGTTAACCCTATGATGACTACTAACATATCGTCATTACAATGTCTTGTAGTGCGCATCCCTACAAAAAAAATAAGTTGAGAAGCACGAAACACTGAAATTCTCCTGAAATTATATTACGATTCTCATATGGTGGTTAATCGAACTGAATTCTTTGAACTTTAGCTACCAAATTGGATATTACAGACTCTAGTTCAGTTGTTAAGTTTCGATTTCTAGATCATATGATCAGATTAATTTTGTCCTTACAAGCTTGAATTTGAGCTCAATCTTGAGAAAATTTGAAAAATAAACATCCTATAAGGTTTGCAACCACCATCAATTGATTATTAGAAGTAAAATGTCTTTGCCTTTAATCCCAAGGTGCTATATTGTGTTACTTGTTCACCATTTAATATATATATCATTTTACAAATTGTCAAGTTCAACTTTACATAAGTGCGAGTTGTACATTTTTTGAACTCAATTTGTTTTAAATAAACTTCAAAATTGACAATTTTTTAAAACGAATTAACTTGGATGAGTTGAAACTGAGGGGAGCCCAAACGATACAGTTTGCTCAACATCCTTATCCCCACATCTAGTCAAAATATGAACAAATTTTTTTTTTTTTGACTATTTATCATTTCTGTTCAACTAATTTGCTTTTGACTGAGATGTATTCAATTTCATGCAGGCCCCACCATAATGGAATAAATTTGAATTTCAAAAGTGTAAAAGTGAAACCAACAACACTTTTTATGATATATGCAAGAGTTTCATGAAAGGAAAATGCTATACGACCCACCCAAATGCAACTCAAAAATTGTAATTCAAATATATATCATCATTTGAATGAGTAAATTCCATTGAAAAAGTTGATGAGGCTCAATCATCTAATAGATGATATATGCATTTGGGTTGTATATCAACAAAAACCACAATAAACCACCTTACATATCAACAAAAAAAATAAAGAAAAAAAATGAGTAAAAAAGGGCAAAAAAGCAAGGAATACCTCTTGATTGAGGGTAGATATGTTGAGGGTTGGACCAGGCATCAAGGCACTGACAAAAACAGCAACAAAAATTTTCTCTGGAAATCTTTCCATGGCATGAGAAATAGCCAAGCCTCCAAGGCTGTGACCTACCAAGATGACTCTCTCATGTGAAGGAAGAGAGACCAGGAAGTCCATCAATGGCTGAAAATAATCGGAGATAGAAGGAACATCTTTGACTTGTTTCGGATCGACCCCGGAAGCAGCCAAATCAAGAGCTGTGACATTGTGGCCTGCCGATTTTAGAAGTTGCACTTGCTTGTACCAAGACCATGCACCAAGGCATGCCCCATGAATTAGCACAAAGTGCTTGCCGGATTCTGGCCGCCATGGCTGCTCGGATGTTTCTGCATTCACCATTTGGAGAGAGAAGAAGATGAGAACAAACACAAACATAACATGCTGCTTTTTCTAATTTCCTCTTTGTTTCCTTTTCCTTCTGTCTTGGAGTCATAGACACTAATAGTCAACAAATCATATCTTATATTTGATCCACTACAACCTTATCAAGTTCAATTATTTGATCTTGACTATATACCTTTAGATATTAGGATGAAGGGAACCATTTTAAAATTTTTATTTTATCCCTTAAAAAATTAAAATTTTCATATTACATCAGTAATTTCCTCAATTAGTATATAATGGGCCTCTTGGAAGGGACTGAATGTTGGGCCGTTGTGGAGTCTACTTTGTATATTGATCCGGATGATGACCCGACTCGAAGTCATGTTGTATAGTTTTTTAATGGAAAATTTTCTAAAGCTTGGCCCATGGAGCGAAGGCTTGAGCCGATAAGACATATAAAATACCGCTACTTTGGTGATTAGAGTTTGATCGAAGTGTATAGCCGCTCTTTGTAATCCTCTCTCTCAATAGTGAAAATCTTGCAATTTCGTGGACGTAGGCAAATTGTCGAACCACGTAAAATCTTTATGTCTTGTTCCTTCTTGTTTCTTATTGTTTTATGTTCTTGGTTTGTTCTTCGATTATGTGTGTTTGTCTGTGGGTTTAAAGTATATTAAATCTCAACACTAAAAGCCTCAGTTTTTTTTTGGTTTCTAAGGAAAAGAAGCATAGTCCATTTGGACTCGGACTTATTGGGTGACTTTTCCAAAAGCACCAAAGAAAAGCTGAAAAATGGGGCTTATTCAAGGGCATCCAAGGACTTATTGGGTGACTTTTCCAAAAGCACCAAAGAAAAGCTGAAAAATGGGGCTTATTCAAGGGCATCCAAGGAAAACTGGCTTTTTTGAAAACACTCCAAATGGTTCTAAGAGTTTTTTTAACTTTGACTTTTTCATTTCGTTTTTCAAACCTTTGATTCACATATTAAAAAATCAGCTCCAAACGTATCCAATATATTCCCAAAACACCGGTCATTTTTTTCCCTCAGCACGGAACGTGTTAGGCGAGGAGATAGAAACAAATGATCAGTTACTTTTAAGAAAAATTGCTTCAATTTAAAAATTTTAGGCTGCAACGTAAAAAATTGGTTGATAAAGTAAAAATTTGAAATTTTTTAGAGGACAAAGTGTCATTCCCCCAAGATATTTACAGATATTTTTAAGTTACTCCAAAGTCCAAAAGGAAAAATTGTTTATTTTGAATTTGACAGAGGATTCTTCCTTGGAGATTGAGTTTTCTGGGAACATGTCCACACATGTAAATAATATCGGGGTATATTCGGAATGCCACTGAGGCTAAAATGAACATGGCTTTCGTCAGAGGCAGATTTGCAAAAATAAAATTAAATGCGACAATCGAATCAAATCATATTGTTTTACAGTTAGATGATGTTATTTTAAATTTTTACTCAATAACAGTCGATTTTTATCTAATCGTTTATCATTCATATAAGATGTCCTAACTCTAACCAAGTTTATTCAATAACCATATTGTCTTTAGGTTGATCAACTCAACTCGTGGAATAGAAATCTAGGAATATTGCTCCCATCTTCTTTCAAGCAAATTCATCTCTCACAAACATACTGTAAACCAAAGAGTTCCACAATCCACCATATTAAGGAATGAGAAAAATGAAAGAAATTCACAATTTTGTATATTGAAGACTAGCTAAATGAGTTTGTCGTGTCAAAATTGAGTTATTCATGCCTGAAACAAATCCGCCCCGTTTATTATTTATGTTAGCAGATCATACCACTTTCAGATTTTTAACACTAACCTGTTAATTTCATATTCATACGATATTATCATGTGTGATAAAAATTTCCACTCTTAGATAGAATGCATGCTTCAATTATTAAAATTGTCATTCTAGATGAAGATTCCCAGTGAAGGCTGTTCGCATATATTAGTAATACAATACCTCTTCACGGGTTTCTCGTGTTAAAATCATATTAATAAAGTTTGTCACTAATCTGGTTTGTTTATGATTTGTATTAGTACATTGTATCATTTTAACTTGACATCGGGAATTATTCAATTACAATTCCCTATTTCGTGTCAGATTTGTGTTGTATTAATGCATCACATCAAAAACTATGACCCTAAGTAGAATGGGAGAGAATAAGAAAATCAACAAGCAACTTTTATTTAGTTTACAAGAAAGCAAAGCTAATACAGTCTTATTGATGTTTGCACAAAGACAATTCTTCACTTTAGCTAGATTTCTCTGAGAGCCTGAAATGAGAGACTTGAATATTTTCAACATCATGTTTCTGAAAATTACTGCGTCTTCGAGTTGCCAAAAACTTCCCCCAATTATATGCCTTATACTTGGCAGGGTTTTGATCATTTGTTAGCTCTTTTAGGGGTTCCAGCATGGTGTAGTGGGCTGGGTTGAAGAAGAATGGAATGGAAAACCTGTTTTTCTCAAAATTCACTACTGCCCTGTGCTCCACACTTTCATACCTTTCATTGCTCCAAACCTGTACATATATTAACACACACTAAATGACATTGTCAGCATGAAAAACCTCTCATTTTTTGTACGAGTAGTCTAATAGTAACGTAATCAGAAAAATTTATCCAATGAGCACCATTCATGATTTTGGAAATGTCAAGTTTCCAATGTATCGAGCCTATGAAAAATTGTTCCGTATAATCAAGAAATTAATTCATATTTGTGAAGTTGTAAAATATTTATGATTTTATCGCGTAATTACTTATTACAACTAATTTCATCATGGGTCTGCCAAGTGCAAAAACCATAACAAAACAAAACAGTGAGTGTCAAGCACGCACAGATCTTCCATAATACAAGATTATAGAGATGTATATTAAAATATCGATCTATCAAGTAAAATTTTGAGAACTTGATGGCCACGACCACCTACGCCACAACATGGCTCCATCTCTGATTATCAAGGACATGTGTGTTTGCAAACAAAATCAAACCAATTATGGTAAACATAGAACACACAAATATGGATAGATCTTTGTTTTAGTCTAGTTATCCCTCAATGTTATGATGGTCGTTATCGTTATTCAAAACTATTCTAGAGCTTATAAAGCTTCTAAGTTGTTGGCATAGTACATTTTACATAACTATGGCTCAATCATATATTTATATCCTTCATGTTTAATGGTAAGTAGCTAGTTGTCTCAATAGTTACCCTAATGTTCCTTCGAGTTGCCTATAGGTCACTCATATGCATGGAGTATGGTACCTGAATAATGTCACAAATAGGTTTGACCTCAATCCACTCTCCATCTGTTTTTTGCTTCACTTCGAGTCCTCCAACATCGTCCTGAGCAAGGATGGCCAGGGCACCAGAATCATTGTGCCGGCCAATCCCAAGAGCTAGATGAGGAATGGGACAAGGCAGATAGTGGTTGAGTCGCACGTAGCTAGTTTGGTCTTCGAAGAATCCATTCAAACGATTAGCTGGTAGGCCTAAGCTCAGAGAGATGAGTTCCATCAACTTGTAAGCTAGTGTTTGCCCTTCTTGAGCATAGTGTTCACATTCTTCTCTAGAAGACCCAAATCTACTAGTAAGTAAATAGGGAAAAATGGAAGCGGGTACAATTTTTAAGGCTTATTTGAATAAAAGTTTATTTGGAAAAATATTTTGAATAAAAATCTATTTTGAGGCAAAATGACTGAAGTATCCTCTAAGCAGACTTACTAATGCATCAAACTCTCTCTATTTTTTCTCACTGTTACTCTCTCTCGAGTAAATATTGAATGCAATGGGGATACCATGTCAGTAATGTTGACGTGAATAATTATTTAATTACATGGAGGGTTGATTATTAATCTTAATGGGATCCATTTGTTTATTTGTTTTGATATTATTAGTTGATAATATCACGTCAGCATTACCATGTGGTATCACCATTCGATCACTCTCTCTCTCTTTCTTTCTCTCCATATTTTCTCTGACATTTCTCTCTGACTTTCTCTCTCTATTTTCTCTAACGATTACTCTCTCACTCTATTTTCTCTCCCCTGCGTAATCAAGGCAACATTACTCTCTCTATCTATATTTTTTCTTTCTCTCTCCCCCTTATTTTCTCTCTCTATTGAAGAAATACGGAAATGTGGCAAACCTTCCCAAAATGAAGATTGAGGAAGGAGGGAGGTAGCCCAAGAGTAGCGGAGCCTCGAGAAAGATGTCACCAAGTTAGAATAGCTACACACACGTTTTCGCGAGGAAGCCAGCCTATCTTGCGTTCAAGCTAGATTCATTTTACACTTCCTGTCTTGCGTTCAAGTGAGATTCATTTTATATATGTGAGTCTCTTACCGGTTAATGATTAATGATCTGTCAAGAAGGGAATTTGAAAAAAAAATATTTCTTTTACCGCTTCAACAAAAATAATTCAAAAAATTACTACAACTTTGGTGGATTATCGGGCCACTGATTAAAATATTGTCTTAGCTCCTTATCATCAGGCTCATGAGAAGCAAGAAATAGTGTTGGATTCTGTATGGTAAGATCAAACACCTTTTTCCAGTCTCTAACATTCTTGGTATGCTCAGCATCATAATACCCCAATGGGTTCACATCGAGTTAGGCGGAGTTTAGAATGGAGAGATACACTAGTGGAATGCCGTCTGCTTCGACAACAACGAGTTTTGGGCTGTGCTCGGTGGCTTGGATGAAGGTTGCGTCTACTTCTCCCATGTCTACGGGGTGAGTGGTGGGTGACACATGGGAAGCAATTTAAGTTGTGAAAAAAAAAATATCTATTTTATTGTGTATATAAATACACATATATATAAGGGGTGGGTGGTGGAGTGGGTGGGGGTTATCATATACATTGACCCTTGACACATTTAATCCTATGTTTGAACCTTCTAAGTCCATTACAAAAAACCTTGTAGGTTGTAATTAAGTTTAATAATCCATGACTAAGGTATGATACCACATAAAATTCGATCGTCCAGAAAATCGATTCCAATTTATGAAATATTAATTTTTCTTTCTTTTTTTTTAATTACATAATTAATTGATTTCTACTCATTTTTCTAAAAAAAATTGACAATTTTTTTTTTCAAAATACATGATCTCAAAAAAAATATTAAGATGTGTATAATATTGTATATGAATAATAATTGAAATAAAAAGTATATTGAGTCATAAATTAATTAAAAATAAAATAATTTAAGTTATGATAAAAATCAGCAAAACAAATATATGAAGATAAAATTCAAACTTTTATGTATTATATTGATGTCTTAGTCGTGTATGTACCTGCTTTGAAAGGATTTGCAGGGAAAAAAAGGAGGCTAACTTGGGCCCGACAAGTTTTTTTTTTTTTTTTTGGAAATGGTATTTGTACTTAATTTAGTGATTTTATTTGATGACATAATAGATTATAACCATTAAATTGATAGTAAATTCCAACTAATAATATGATTCACTATCAATCTAATGACAGAGAATGATAAGGTCCAAAATAAAATCACTAAATAAAATTCATGTAGTATTACTCATTCTTTTTTGGTATTACATCTAAAGCCGAAAAAAGAAGCGTCGGTATCATACCGTCATTATAAAATTTGTGGACTTTTTTACAATTTTTGAAGTTTATTTATAATTTTGTGGTGACTTAAGATTGATCACAAGTTACCATAAAATTTGTCCAAAAAAATTATAACTCAAACTTTAAAAATTGTAAGACCCCCAAAAATTGTAAATTTTTTATAGTAAACAAACCAAAAAAATGGTATCAAAACCTTCAAAACTTATAAAACTTGGAGATACAATATGAAATTCTTTTTTTTTTCCAGTATCGTAGTCTCCTCCCCGAATACAAAACGTTCTATCTGGTGAAGTGAACAACTAGGTGTGAAAATCTTATGAGGAGTGGTAAAATATGCATCGAACCTAGACACACTTGTTACTATGTTTCAACTTTGATGCTTATTAATCAGCTTTGACACATCAACCACCATGTCATTTGGTCTCTTATTTTGGTCCTTTTATTTGGTTAGTGTAGCATTTTTCTTATTAAAATTATTTACGGATTCTTGTTGTGAATGAGACAACAAAAATAACGGTAAATCAAAAATGAAGACTACAAATAAATTTTGAAGAGGAAGCTAGAGAACATGTGAATCAAACTATTTCGTGTTATAATACTTATGGAATACTGATAATACTAAGAATAAAAAAGATAACTTTTCTTAATAGCAGAAGAAGACATGTCAGTTAAGCTCAGACACAAGTTGGGATCAAGTAAGTAATTTTGCAAACAATTTCGGTTAAACTAAAATAACTTAGGCCACAAGAGGAAGAGGGACGAAGGGTACCACCACCTCCAGATCTCATCTAAGAAAAAAATTTCTAGAAAGCCACGTCACACTAAGAGAATGTAGTCTATGGTCCAATATTTCCTCAGATATTCTAACAGATCAGGGGACCAGTAATGATTATTTGAGGACCACTCTACCAAAACAATATAAATAGAAAAATCTTAGCCTGAAAAAGGTAGATGATTGTAACTGTCTTCTTCCTCAAAAAGCAATAGAAATCTCCAAAGCAAGATGAACATGGCTCCGTCAGAAGCAGAAGCAAAAAAAAATTAAATGTGACAATGGAATCAAATCATGTTGTTTTGCATTTAGATGGTGTTATTTTAAATTGTTATTTAATAGTAGTTAACTTTTATCTAATCGTTTATCATTCATATGAGATGTCCTGATTCTAATCAAGTTTTTTCAACATTCGCGTTGTGTTTCGATTAATCAACTCAACAAGTGAAATAGAAATCTAGGAATATTGCTCCCATCTTTTTTCTAGCAAATTCATCACTCACAAACTTCCTGTAAACCAAAAAATTCCAATATCCACCATATCAAAGAAAGAAAAACATGAAAGTCACAATTTTCTCTATTGAATACTAGCTGAATGAGTTTGTTGTTTCAAAATTGAGTTATTCGTACCTGAAATTAATCTGTATCGTTTATTATTTGAGTTATCAGATTAGACTACTTTCAAATTTTTAACACTAAGTTGTTAATCTCATATCGGATTCATAAGACAATAACATGTGGTGACAAAAATTTGCCTCTTAGATAGAATGTATGCTTCAATTATTGAAATTGCCATTCTAGATGAAGATTCCCAGTGAAGGTTGATGGCATATATCTATTTATAGGTTTCTCGTGTTAAAATTAGATTAAGAATGTTTGAGACTAATTTGGTTCATTTATGCATAATTTGTGCTAGCACCTCGCATAATTTCAACTTGGTATATACACTACAACAAAAATCGTTTTTTGCGACGATTTTTTTCGTTGCTAAATTAAAAAAAATTGTCGCAAAATATTTTTTGCGACGATTTATTTTCATCGCGTCTTCGTCGCAATAGTCTCGTCGCAGAAAGTCTTTTGCGACAAAAATTTATTTTTATCACAAAAAAAAAAAATTTTTGCGACAAAAAAAAAACGTAGCTAAAACCTATTCCCCCAACATAAAAACATTAAAATAATAATTTAATTAATTTTTTACGAAGTAAATAAATCGTCGCAAATAAATTTTTACATAAATAAAAACGGTTAATATAATAATTTAATTAAGTTTTTGCACGTAAAAAAAGCGCCGCGAATAATTTTTAAATAAATTAAAAATGTAAAAAATAATAATTATATTAATTTTTTGCGATGTAAAAGAAGTCATCGCAAATATTATTTTAATAAAAAAAGTAAAAAATAATTTAATTAATTTTTAGCAACGATAAAAAAATCGTTGCAAATAATATTTTTAATTAAAAATATGTAAAAAATAATTAAATAAATATATTTGCGACGTAAAAAATTCGTCGCAAAAAAGGTTGGTACTGCAATTTTCGCGACGATTTTTATTTCGTCGCAAAAAAGTTCATTTTTTTTTTGATTTTATATAAAAAAATTATTTTTTCAATAAAATTTTTCGTCTGTACACCAATAATAGCTGTGTTTAATAAAAACTAACATAATTAACACATTTAACATCTTTTTAAAAAAAAAACAAAATTTTATTTCCAAAAAGAATGAATTATAAGAATCAAAGAACAAAAAGTCCTAAAAATAGAAAAAATAGCTTTAATCCTTCAAGAGGATTTAAACCATCTCTAATTACATTTAATGTCTTTTAAACTTGAACAGCTCCAATAGTCCAGCTCCATGCATTGAAATATCATGTCAAAGCTCAACACTATCCATCCAGGATCTACATAATCAAACTGACCACCACACACAACCTTCCTCCTTCAAGCAATAGGGATCCTGGACTGATGCTGATGCAGAACTAACCATCCTTCCAGTGGCAGAATACCACTTTCTGAAAAATTAATAAAAGCAAAATAAGAGTATTGAAAAAGAGATGAATCATTTACAATGGAAACAAATGTCGATAAAGTAGTTTGGATAAACTAAGAAAAATTAGTGCAGTGCTAGCCAGTATCACAATTTCAGAACTGAGCAACTTACCTCAACAACCTTTTCATCATTTGTTTCTATGATTACCCCTACTACTGAATTTTCATCATTTCTGTTAATGGTAGATCACTTATCATTGACCAATACGTCATCTATAATTGAAGAGAATTAAGAGAAAAAAAACTGAAAGTGATCCCAAGCCGAAATAAAACATGCACTCGCTACAATCATGCAGAAAAGACCACAGATTATGTTATTGATTGCCCACAAAATGCCACAAAATCACAACAAAGAAAACAAACATAAGCATGAAGAGAGAACTATGCAGATGCCAGTACAATATAGGTTGTTGCATCAACAGCAAATGATTAGCAATCCACACAGCATGAATGCAAAAACGTATGATTTTAGCTTTCACATGTGAAATGGGTTGTGTACCAAGCCTTACTTGGATCTATGAAATCACAGGTTTCATCGTCATTGAATTCACGCATTACAACACAGTTCACCTGAGATATGACATATAAGAAAGAAATTTCAGTTGTGAATTTAAACGAAACTTTGACATTGAACAAGAAGTAATCAGAAGCTTAGCCTAAAACATATAGCGATAATATATTACCACAACTAATTTTTTTTTTTAAAACTAAGAACATAATACATGAGCCAAGAATAAATGGCAAAACAAAAAAAATGAAATACACTATTAAAAAGTTGGATAGAATACTTTAACAGGATTGTATCAAGGTGATATGCCTTTCTCTATCAGACTTTTACGGCAACATGATCAACAGGGGATCAATGCTACTCGTAAGAGGTTTTCTGCCTCCTCCTAGTTTATTTACTGTTCGATTTTTTATGGAAGCATACAAATCAAGCAACCAGAATACCTCAAACACATGGATCAAGTCTAGACTAAAGCCCATTCAAAAAATACAGTCCAGTATATTTTCAGGCTTCAGGTCAGTGTGAATTAACCGTAAATCATGCATATCTATTGGATATGACAAATCATAAAAAAATGTTAAACAAGAAATCTCACAAATATACATTTGCTGCTACACCCTGGACAAAAAGAACATGCCAAAAAACAAATCCCAAAAAATTGATCAGAAAAGGAAAAGAATACAGAAATCGAGATATAATTCAAGGCCAAGATTAATCCACATACATGCTACAGATTCCAAAAGCTGACGTCCAAATTCACAAACAAGATCCACATGAAATGGGCAGTATCTATTTCTCTTTAGAAAATCATATAAACTTGGTCCAAAATATGCAGCAGCCACCATCATTCAATCCCAAAAAACATGGATCAGCTGATAGGATCAGCACCTCAGAAACAGGCAGCTTTCAAACCACCCCAGCAGCAAAGAAATCCATTGCATCCTAGAACCCCAAGCTGGAACCAAGAAATTAGATGAAATAGCCCAAGTGGCATGAACAGTGTAAGACTAATGTATTCAGTAAGAATACTGTAGGGGAAGGGGTTTAAATATAAGACAATGTTGAAGTGATGTGATTTAGAAAATAATGACTCAAAAACAGAATAGGTATACTGAATATTTAGTGCATACCTCATCGTGACGCCCTTTGGAACAATTTCCTCCATTTTACTATGACAAATGTTGTATAGCTCAACAACATGTTTCCACACCCTGTTAAAGGAAATCAACACATAAAAAAAGGCATCATTTTAAGTGATACTTTGAACTACTTTTATACAAAATATGATTACTGACATGTTTTAAAGATTAGTAAAATTGATTAATTGAGCAATTATAGCAACAAAAAATTTTCCAGGCTCACAAGTCACAACCTTGGGGCATAAATTGTATTGCCAAAAGCCTCAAAGAAGGCTTCAAAAATTTGATAGTATAGTTGTACGAAGAGCAATCAAAATCCAAGGAACATAGCATATGTAAATACAACGAAAAAAAATTCCTACATGGACCACTGTCAAGATACTTATGTTTGTGAGTGTAAAATCTACACCTATAATGCTTCTGGTACAAGTGGTACCTTATCCTTTACCATCAGCAACATCTACACCTATAACAACTGCTGCAATCTGAGGCACTCTGGACCATATACTTAACACAAATAACATAATAGTTAACAGTGCACTATGCAAGTAATTAACAGTGTAGAACCATATTTTTTTTTTAAAGAAAATGAAAAATATGAAATATATGAAAGGAATAATTACAAGAAGCAAAGAACCAACAACCAACAAAAGGGGACCAAGCCAGAAATGGCTTTAATCCTGCAAGACAAGAAGAAAGAGGAGAAGAAATCTTCATGGAGGGAGGAGGACCCATCAGCAACCTAAAAGACGAGAAATGGCTGAAAACCAGCTGAACAGTCAGTTGGAACTAGGCGAGGCAGGTAGCAACAAGCGGGGCAGCTGAGGGTAGGCAAAAATAGTAGAAACATCCCCAAGAGCATGCCAAAGAGAGCCCCCAGCTGACCCCCAGCTGGGAGGGGGCAGCTGAAAGATCATAAATGAAAGTGCAGTACATCCAACCCAAAAAGGAAAACCTCAGCTGAGATAAACCAAGAGACAAAAGGCAGAAGAGGAAGGGGAGCAACCCAATAATATCCAGCTGAAGGAGCATCATCTGACTTGAATGCATCGGAAAAAGTGAACAACGAAGTCCAAAGGTCAGGAAGAGAGACAGAGAGGATCACCCAAGAAAGATAACCCCTCCTCTCCTAATGGTGTTGTTCCTGATGATGCTGCAGCTTTGCCTTGAATGGCATCCAATGGAAACAGAGGAAACACAAGAGAACCAGAAGCTCAAGCAGAAATAGTAGAAGAGGCGCAGAACCAGCAGAAGACACCATCCCCTTCCCCATTCTGATAAACCACAGAGAACTTTCAAATTTACACAAACTTCTTTTGAATGCAAATGTACACATGAGTTTCCCTCTTATAATGAAAAGGAACAATTGAATCTGATTCACCATGATAGGAACACAGAAAAGAATAGCATCACATAGCATAGCAAAGAACACCACGCAGCACACCCAGTCCCATAAGCATAAATAAACAGCAGAAGCATCCATCACAAAGAATATGTATCAATAAATAAAGATTAGCAGAAATGGACATGCAGAAAGAATATGTATCATTAAATCCAATCCAATCAAACACTAACTTGCAAAATTCAGTTTAGCGGAACATCATCTTGTCATGATAAAATAAGAAAAAAAAATTCATATACTTGAGAAAGAGCTTCCTACCTAAGCTCTTGTAACATTCAAGTTAAAAAAATTCACATGAAAATAAAAATTGAACACAAAGAGACATATTAAAAAAACCCAAGTTCAATAATGAAATGTAAATCAAAGATTAAAATTCATTATAATTTATTTTAACAATCCATTACACAAGGGGTAAAAAGATCAAATAGTATTTCAAATTTTGTGAAACATGTGTTTCTTGATTACCATGCTAATGGTAACTGAGATGTTGGACAATGAGAAAACCAAAGAATTGCTTTACCTCTTAGACAAATCAAAATCCTTGGTGGATTCACCCACGGCTCCTTCCAGCTCTTTTATTCATAGTTTCAGCTCTTTTACCAACTTGACATTCTGATGAAGTTGAACAACAATATTTTACATAAAATGTAATTAGACCGAAATCGAAAATTGTAGTCAGTATCAACCTGCTCAAATGCCTGCAATTCATCAACAGTTTTCTTCAGTTGTTCATAGTCATGCTTTGCTCTTTCTCGATGGTCTAAGAGAAAGAGGATGAAGGCTTCGAGTTTGATTGGGGCTTGTGGCTTCACTGTCGATTTCTCACCTCCAGTATTACTGCATATATTGAAAATTTTCTCTTAGGAAATTTTCAAGTTAATTTTATCAAAATAACATTAAATTAATAACTTTGAAACATCTTCGTTGGTTGATTCAGATCACAATAACCGCGAGTTAGTTAAAATTTATGAACAATAAAAAGATTAAGTGACACTGTTTTCACACAAGCAACCAACGAACCTAACTAGTTCAAAGTAGATCTTCAAGTCACTTGATTAAAGCATAATTTGGACAAAGTAGTATCCTAAATTCCTAATTAAAATTACAAATTTAATTCAATTAGTTTTATATATGTTGATATTTGTCAATTAGGTGTGTGTGCTGTGAGTGTGTAACTTGCAAATTGAGTGAGTGTGTTATGTGTGTGTCAAATTGAGACAGGAAGAGAGACTAAGAGATGGGGAAATAGAGGAAAGAAGAAAGATTGAATGGACTGAGATTCGTGAATCGTGAATCTCGGCTCTAGTGTGTGTGTGTGTGAGAGAGAGAGAGAGAGAGAGAGAGAGAAGAGAAGAGAAGAAGAGAAGACTTACAAACTGAAATCAAATGCTTGTGCATCTGGACTGGAGAGTTCGAGAGCTAAGTTGAGGAGTTGCTGGTTATGCTTGTGCGTCGTCTGGACTAGAGAAGAAGAGCAGACCGCCTTAACTGCCTTCCACTGCCTTCTCCTAATCACAGCTCCAATCAAAGAGGGAGAGAGAGTATTGTGTGTCGACTGAAATAAAAAAATAGTGGGAGATGGGGAAAATGAGAATGAGGGAAAAAGGGTATTTGGTAGGAGGGAAATCAACAAAGAAAATATTCGAAAATTAGTAAGGGATGGAGGCTGAAGTTGAATGGAAGCAATAATAATGGGTTGGCAATTCTGGACTGGACCTTGGTCACCATTGGACCAATGGAAGAAACAATATATGGATGGAGAGAGAGAGAGAGGGGAGGTTACCTAAGCTCAAGAGGGATGGTGTAGCTGGCGACAGTGTTCGATGGCGTCGCTGATTGTGTTCGATGGTTGACGGTGTTCTAGGGCTCACTGACGGAGAGAGATGGGGGAGATATGTATAGCGTAGTTGGCAGGAGGAAAAAAAAGAGGGAGAAAGAAGAGTATATTATTTCCGACGTTTTACAAAAATGTCGCCCAAAAAGTAGATTGTTATTTTTAAATTTTTTTATTTACGAAAAAGTTTACTATTTGCGACGTTTTTTTAAAAACGTCGCAAAAAATGAAGTAGATTGTTATTTTTAATTTTAAAAAACTATTGGCAACGTTTGCTAAAATGTCGCGAATTGTTATTTTTAATTTTTTTATTTACGAAAATTTTACTATTGGCGACATTTTCAAAAAACATCGCGAAAAAACAATTAGATTGCTATTTTTTAATTTTTTTATTTACGAAAATTTTACTATTTGCGACGTTTTCGTCGAAAAAAAACAACTAGATTGTCATTTTTAAAATTTTTTATTTACAAAATTTACTATTGGCGATGTCGCAAAAAATAATTAAATTTGTAATTTTTCACAATTTTCCCTGCCAGTAGAATTAGGAGAGTGTCACCTTTTGGCGACATTTTCAGAAAACGTCGCAAAAAATGTCAAAAATTGAAATTTAGACTTTATTTTGCTTTAAATGTTAGATTATTTATGTTAGTGACGATATAAAACTAATAGCGACGAAAAATGTTTGTCGCGAAAAATTGTCAATTCCCGCCATTGCTCCCGCCAAAAAACTATTAGGCAGAATTGTCTTTTCACGACATTTTTCAAAAAACGTCGCAAAAAACTTGCCAAAATAGAAATTTGCGACAAAAATATAAAAGCGTCGATAATACTAAACTTTTGTGACAAATTTAAAATCGTCGCAAAAAAGCTTTTTTGTTGTAGTATCTTAAATTATTCAATTACAACTCGTTATTTCGTGTCAGATTTATGCATCACATCAAAAACTACAACCCCCAAGTAGAATGGGAGAGAAGGAAAATCAACAAGCAACTTTTATTTCAATATCCATCTTTCTATATAGGAGTATCTATTATTTATAATTATACAGAGGATAATATTTTATAAGAACGCAAAGCTAAGACACTCGTATTGATGATGCTTGAACAAAGGCGATTCTTCCCTCTAACCAGATTTCTCTGAAAACCTGAAATGAGAGATTTGAATATTTTCAACTTCAAGTTTCTGGAAATTACAGCGTTTTCGGGTTGCAAAAAACTTTCCCCAGTTATATGGCTTATATTTGGCAAGGTTTTGATCATCTATCAGCTCTTCCAAGGGTTCCACAATGGTGTAGTGAGCGGGGTTGAAGAAGAATGGGATGGAGATCCTATCTTTCTTAGAATTCAATGTTGCCCTGTGCTCCACACTTTCATACCTATCATTACTCCAAACCTGTACATATATTCACACACACACACCACATGACATGGTCAGAACGACAAACCTCTCATTTTTGTACGAGTAGTCTAATATTAGCGTAATCAAAAATTTTTATTCAATGAGCGTCATTCATGAGTAGTTAATGCCATGTTTCTAATTGTATCAAGCTTGTGGAAATCATTCAATAAAGTTAACTCATATTTGTCAAATTAGATGTAAACCATTTCTGATTAATTCAAGAAGACAGTCCAGAATTTTAGGTCAGTTTTATTATGTATTCACTTAGTTCAACAAATTTCATCATGTTTGTGTGCGTCTACAGATTTCTCATAACACAAGAAAATAGAGTGTAATTTGGAAAACTTGAGAGGGTCATGGAACTAAAATATCGATCTTGACTTATATTTATAAGGTAAAATTTTGAGAACTTGATGGCCACGGACACCTAGGCCATAACTGGGCTCCGTCTCTTATTATCAAGAACATCTATGGTTGCAACAAAATCAAACCAATTATGGTAAACATAGAATTGCACCGTGAGACATCCAAGCCTTTGACTCGTAAGTCTCAACTCGTTCCCAGCTTGGTGCACAATCATTTGTGATGATGGAAAAATAAGAGGGGCAAGCCCGCACAAATGTGGATAGATCTTTGTCATCTGTTATCTGTTATCGTTATGATGGCCCTCAATACTAGAACTTATAAAGCTTCTAAGTTTTTGGCATAGTGCATTTTACATGACTATGACTCAATTATATGATTCTACCCTTCATGTTTAATTGTAAATAGCTAGCATGTTGTCTCAAAAGTTCCCCTAATGGTCCTTCGAGTTGCCTATAGGTCACTTTTATGCATGGACTGTGGTACTGGGAATTTTAGCATCAAAGTGAATTCTATTAAAAACTTCTTGAATGTACCTGAATAATGTCACCAACATTGATAATATAAGCATCATGAGTAGGTTTGACCCGAATCCACTCTCCATCTGTTTTTCGCTTCACTTCAAACCCTCCAACATCGTCTTGAGCAAGGATGGTTAGGGCACCGGCATCCTTGTGCCCACCAACCCCAAGAGCAAGGTGAGGAACGGGACAAGGCGGATAGTGGTTAAGCCGGATGAAGCTGGTATGGTCATTGTAGAATCCGTTCAGATGATTAGCCGGCAGGCCTAAGCTCATAGAGATGAGTTCCAACAATTTGTAGGCTAGTTTTTGCACTTCTTCAGCATAGTGTTCGCATTCTTCTCTGGAAGAGCCAAATCTATTAATAAAGTAAATAGGCCAATTTTGTGAAATAGTTGTGAGCATAGAGGAAGGCCTTTTTTTTTTTTAGTTCGGCGGTTAAGAGTGTCCGAGCCAGTTTACGTGCATCTTGACTAATCTTCTCTCTAGCCTGGTCAAATGCAGACCATTCACATCAAAATTAAAATATTTATTAGGGATAAATCCTACCCGTGTTACTACTCGCACTACCCTTGGGGTTGAAGGTCTTTTCAACTCTTCACTTAAAATTGCAAGGAGCACTAAATAGAAACATTGGTGATTAACGAACTTCACTTAATTTTTTTTAAGAGAATGCTATTTGGATTTAATTTGGAGATCTAACCTGGGGACCTAATTAAATGCAACCATTAGATCGGTAGTGGGCTCTATTTAATATTAGAATTCACAATTAATCCAATTGTTATATTGAAACCACATCATTAGATGCTCAAATTAAATATGTATAACATTTCTCTTTTTTTTTATTATTATATATATTTGTCATCTTAAATGTTCTTTAGACTTAATTGTTCTCTACCGTTAAATTAATAGTAGATTCCACTATTAGTTTGGGTCTACTATCAATAAATTATGTCCAAATAATTTATTTTTTTTACCGTTTTAAGGCTAAATTTCATTGCCCAATGGTTGGGCCAGCGTTACATATAATGGTCTGTGGGGAGCCTGTTAGCTTGTCCTGTTGGGTCATGGACAAGGTTTTGAGTCTATCTTAGACCGGAGGCTTGGAGAGACCTGGCTATTAAGGCCCGAGATAGTTGCCCACCGGATTGGGCCACACCCAAACCCATCGGCATGCTTAATTTCATTATGCAAAATAAATAATAGGAGAAATTGGAAGGGGTACACCAAATTGGAGTTAATTGTAAAAAAGTATACAGAAAAAAATTTAGGATAAAAAAGTCTTTAATTTTAATACTTATTTTTTTCCAAGTATATTATTTGAAATTTTCATATTTTCTTCTAACATTTATATCCTCCCATGATCCATGCATTTTTTATTTTTAGAAAGTGGTGCATTAAACATCTCCTAATTTTATGGTAGAACTTTGATATTCCGTATTTTTATGTCCTCCCTTGATTCATGCCTATTTTTTTTTTTGGAAAGTAGTTTAGTTTTCAAATTATATTTAATGTACCTTAATTCACGCGTATTTTTTTTTGAAAGTGATTTTGTTTTCAAATTATATTAATATTCAAAATCTATAATAGTGTAACAATAACAGTGTAACAAGACATTTACACAAAATATTGTACTATTACATTTTGTCATACATATATTTTTATAAAATTTCATTCAAAACAGTCCATTTCTATTTTAAATATGTTACCACATGCACAAAATCATTGAATACTGTTTTTGTTACAGTGTATTGTTATAATGTCTTTATTCCAGTGTATTGTTATACTATTGCTTAATGAATTTGTTACATTTTTGTTACAGTGTAAATAATTTTATATTTCAAATTATATAAAAAAATAATTAACAAATTTTGAAATTCAAACAAAGTGATATATACTAAAATAAACAAAATATTAAAATTCCCTCATAAAACTAGGAGATATTTAATGCATGAATATTATTTGAAAACAAAACCACTTTTCAAAAAAAAAATACGCATGAATCAAGGTGCATTAGAGATTTTGAATTAAATGATCCTAAATTTCAGCGCTTAAGATAAATACCTTATTACAATTTTTAGGAAAGAAAATTATACAAAATGTGCATTTACGTCTTTGTATTTTAGTTGTGTACCTTTTTTAAAAATATTTTGTTATATGTATTTTTTATAATTATATCTAATTTGATGTATCGGCTTCCAAATGACACTAAATATTAAAATAAAAGTCAATTATGAGGCCCATGAGTTGATAATAAAACTGATAAATAGCATCTAAATAGCTTGCCTCAGGTCCATTAGCAAAGGCCCAATAGATAGCTCCGTGGAACATCCTTTTCATTGGCGGGCAGCTCGGCTTGTTTGGCAGTAGCTGATTGGGCAGGCTGGCCAAGCCGAAGCTGACTTTTATCTAGTATTATCAGAATTGAACCGAACCGGCCGGTGTCCAGTTCAACAATTATTGCCATAATATTAAAGGGAAAGACAATGCCGTGTATTGAAATTATACATCAAATAATATAGCAATAATCTTTGAATGTTTGGTAAAGTCTTTGAAAGTTTGGTTTAGTCTTTGAATGTTCGGTAAAGTCGGTGGGATCATTAATTCAACAAACTAATTTGGTGCAAACAATTCCGAATAAATTTTGGTGCGTTGAGAGTGTTATGTTATCAAAATTGACAGCAGCTTTGGTTACCCTTAATGATTAAAGTTCCTCTTGTATTCTTAGGAAATTATTTATCACAAAAATAAAGAAGGTGATGAACAATAATATGTTTAGATGCTTTTAAACAAGTAGTGATTGATAACCAATTCATGATATTAGGTTGGATTTATGTTCATTTGCTAGGTACCAAAAAAAAAAACTTGTCGACACTTATGCCTTCGCCTCTACTTGTTAGAGCCATCAGTTATATGATGGAACCGGCTGTTCCCATAACTAAAAACTGAGGAAAGAGGAAGGCAGCGGAGAACAGCTACACACTCGCTATTGCGATGAAGCTGACCTATCTTGCCTTCTTATGTGAAGTCTCTCACCAGTTAATGATGGATGATCCATCAAGAAGAGAATTTAACAAAAATAATTCAAAAAATTACCTCAATTCTGGTGGATTTTTGGGCCATTGATTAATATACTCTCTTAACTCCTTATCATCAGGCTCATGAGAAACAGGAAACAGTGTTGGATTCTCTACGGTAAGATCAAACACCTCTTTCCAGTCTCTGACATTCTTAGTATGCTCAGTATCATAATACCCCAAAAAGGGTATTACATCATCTCTACTCACCTTCTTCTTCTCCTCCTTCGACATAGCGAAGAACTTCCTCGCCACGATCTCAAGGTTTTTTCGGCGTTTAAATGGCACCCCATGGTTGATCACCTGAAAGAAACCCCAGTTCTTGCAGGCCTCACCTATCTCGTATATAAGAAGTCTTATGGCTGTGGCGTCAGGCTCCGACGAGTTATGGGATTTTAGAACGGAGAGATCGATCAATGGAATGTCGTCTGCTTCGACAACGGCGAGTTTTGGGCAGTGCTTAGTGGCTTGGATGAAGACTGCGTCTACTTCCATGCCTGCAGGGTGAGTGGTGGGTGACACATGGGAAGCAATTTGAGTATTGACAAAAAACAGTCTATGTTATTGTATGGTGGTGGAGTGGGCGGGGGTTACCATATATGTTGACCCTGCACACCTGTAATCCTATCTTTGAGCCTTCTTAGTCTATGACAAAAAAATTTTGTACGTTGTAATTAAGCTTAATAATCTGTTACTAAGGTATGATACGACATAAAATTTGAATCTTCAAAAAATTAATTTTAATTTATGAAATAGTAATTTTTCTTTCTTTTTTTTAATTACATAATTTAATTGATTTCTACCCATTTTTCTAAAAAACAATTAACAATTTTTTTTTCAAAATACATAGTCTCAAAAAAAATATTAAGACGTGTATAATATCGTATATGAATAATAATTGGAATAAAAATTATATTTATTCATAAATTAATTAAAAATAAAATAATTTAAGTTATGGTAAAAATAAGCCAAAAAAAATATATGAACATAAAATTCAAATTATTATGTATTATATTGATGTCATAGTCGTGTATGTCCTTGCTTCGAAAGGATTTGCTGGGGAAAAAAAGAGGCTAAGTTGGGGCCGACAAGTTTTATTTTTTTGGTAAATGCAATTTGGATGTAATTTAGTGATTTTATTTGATGACATAATAGATCTTAGTTATTGAATTGAAAGTGAGATCTACTGTCAATCTAACGACTGAGAATAATAAGGTAAACAAATAAAGTCACTAAATAAAATTCATGTAACATTACTCAAATTTTTTTTGGTATTATATCTGAAGCTGAAAAAAGAAATGTAAGTATCATACCATCATTATAAACTTTGTGGACTTTTTTACAATTTTTTAAGTTTATTTATAATTTTGTGGTGACTTAAGATTGATCACAAGCTACCATAAAATACTGTCCAAAAAAATTATAACTCAAACTTTAAAATTTGTAAGACCCCCCAAAAATTGTAAATTTTTTATAGTAAACAAACCAAAAAAATTGTATCAAAACCTACAAAACTTATAAAACTTGGAGATATAGTACGGAATTCTTTGTAGTCTTCTCCTCAAACCTTTCGTCTATATAAAAAAAAATTGGTATATATTTAAATTTTTATTATTTTATTATAATTACTTTTCTAATCCAATTACATATAAATCAAATTAAGATCGACGACTATAAATTAATTTTAATACGGTACTACAATTTGTTTTGTGAATATTTATTATACAAAGCGCTCCTTGTGGTGAAGTGAACAACTAGGTGTGAATATCTTATAAGGAGTGGTAAAATATGCATCGAACCTAGACACATTTGTTACTATGTTTCAACTTTGATGCTTATTAATTAGCTTTGACACGTCAACCACCATGTCATTTGGTCTCTTATTTTAGTCATTTTATTTTGTCAGTGTAGCATTATTCTTATTAAAATTATTTATGGATTCTTGTTGTGAATGAAATAGCAAAAAATCAATAGGAAATCAAAGATGAAGATTACAAGTAAATTTTGAAGAGAAAGCTAGAGAACATGTGACTCATGTTATTTCGTGTTATAATACTTATGGAATACTGATAATACCAAGAATAAAAAAGATTATTTCTCTCAACAGCAGAAGAAGACAAATCAGCTCAACCAGAATCAAGTAAGCGGTTTTGCAAACAATATTGGTTAAACAAGAATAACTTGGGCCACAAGAGGAAGAGAGACAAAGAGTACCGCCGTCTCCGGATCTTATCTAAGAATAAAATTTTTAGAAAGCCACCTCATACTTAGAGAATATAGTCTACGATCCAATATTTCCTCTGATATTCTAACAGATCGAAAGACCACTAATGATGACTTGAGGACCACTCTATTAAGAGAATATAAATAGAAAAATCTTAGCCTGAAAAGGCAGATGATTGTAATTGTCTTCTTCCTCAACAAGCAATAAAAATCTCCAAAGCAAGGTGAACATGGCTAAAACGAACATGGCTTTCACCAAAAGCATAGGCAAAAATAAAATTAAATGTGACAATCGAATCAAATCGCATCGTTTTGCATTTCGATGGTGTTATTTTAATTATTTATTTAATATTAGTTGAATTTTATCTAACCAAGCTTTTTCAACTGTCGTGTTGTGTTTGGATTGATCAACCCAATTCGTGAAATAGAAATCTAGGAATATTGCTCCCATCTTTTTTCTTGCAAATTCAGCACTAACAAACATCATATCAAAGAAAGAAAAACATGGAAGAAATTCACAATTTCCTATGCTTAATACTAGCTAAATGGGTTTGTCAGGTAAAAATTGGGTTATTCGTGCTTGAAATTAATCCACCTTATTTATTATTTGCGTTAGCATATCGTACGTGAATTTTTAACAATAACTTGTTAATTTCATGTTGGATTCATACGACAATAACATGTGGTGACGAAAATTGACTCTTAGATAGAATGCATGCTTCAATTATTGAAATTGTCATTCTAGATGAAGATTCCCAGTGAAAGCTGATGGCATACATAGTAACACAATACTTATTTAGGGGTTTCTCCTATTAAAATTAGATTACGTTTGAGACTAATTTGATTCGTTTATGCATGATTTGTATTAGTACATTGTATAATTTCAACTTGGTATCGGGAATTATTCAATTACAACTCGTTATTTCGTGCCAAATTTATGCATCACATCAAAAACTATGACCCCCAAGTAGAATGGGAGAGAAGAAGGAAAATCAACAAACAACTTTTATTTCAATATCCATCTTTATATATAGGAGTATCCATTATTTTATAATTATACAGAGGATAATATTTTACGAGAAGGCAAAGTTAAGACACTCTTATTGATGATGCTTGCACAAAGACGATTCTTCCCTCTTTAAACAGATTTCTCTAAGAGTCTGAAATGAGAGATTTGAATATTTTCAACATTAAGTTTCTGGAAATTACTGCGTTTTCGGGTTGCAAAAAACTTCCCCCAGTTATATGGCTTATACTTGGCAAGGTTTTGATCATCTGTTAGCTCTTCCAAGGGTTTCACATTGGTGTAGTGAGCGGGGTTGAAGAAGAATGGGATGGAGATCCTGTCTTTCTTACAATTCACTGCTGCCCTGTGCTCCACACTTTCATACCTATCATTGCTCCAAACCTGGACATATATTCACAAACACACATGACATCGTCAGCACGACAAACCTCTCATTTTTGTATGAGTAGTCTAATAGTAGCATAATCATAAATTTTTATTCAATGATCGCCATTCATGAGTTATTGTTCATGCCAGGTTTCTAATTGTATCAAGCCTATGGAAATCCTTCAAGAAAATTAACACTTGTCAAATTAAATGTAAAATATTTCTGATTAATTCAAGAAGACAGTTGAGTTTTTTGGTCGATTTTATCATTTGCTATAGCAAATTTCATCATGTTTGTGTGCATATGCAGATCTCTCTTAATACAAGAGTACAAAGTATAATTTGGTAAACTTGAGGGGGCCATGTAACTGAAAGATCGATCTTGACTTATAGTTATAAAGTAAAATTTTGAGAACTTGATGGCCACGGCCACCTAGGCCATAACATGGCTTGGTCTCTCATTATCAGGGACATGTATGGTTGCAAACAAAATCAAACCAATTATGGTAATCATAGAATCACTAAGCTAGATGTCCAATAGTCTCTGACTTGGTCTTTGAATTGTAAGTCTCAGTCTGTTCCCAACTTGGTGCACAATCATTTGTGATTGATGGACAAACAAGAGGGGGGCAGCCCACACAAATGTGGATAGATCTTTGTTAATGCTAGAACTTATAAAGCTTCTAAGTTGTTGGCATAGTACATTTTACATGAACATGACTCAAAAATATGATCCTACCCTTCATGTTTAATGGTAAATATCTAGTTGTCCCAATAGTTCCCCTAATGGTCCTTCGAGTTGCCTATAGGTCACTCATATGCATGGACTATGGTACTGGGAATTTTAGCAACAAAGTGAATTCATTTAAAAACTAATTGAGTGGTACCTGAATAATGTCACCAACATTGATAATATAAGCATCATGAGTAGGTTTGACCCGAATCCACTCTCCATCTGTTTTTCGCTTCACTTCGAGTCCTCCAACATCGTCTTGAGCGAGGATGGTTAGGGCACCAGCATCCTTGTGCCGGCCAACCCCAAGAGCTAGGTGAGGAACGGGACAAGGCGGATAGTGGTTGAGCCGGATGAAGCTAGTTTGGTCTTTGAAGAATCCACTCAAACGATTAGCCGGCAGGTCTAAGCTCAGAGATATCAGTTCCAACAATTTGTAAGCTAGTTTTTGCACTTCTTCAGCATAGTGTTCACATTCTTCTCTGGAAAAGTCAAATCTATTAGTAAAGTAAATAGGCCAATTTTGTGAAATAGTTGTGGGCCTAGAAGGACTCCTCTTCTTTTTTTAGTTCAGCGATTAAAGGTGTCTAGACCAGTTTACGTGTACCTCGACAAATCATCTTTTTGGTCTAGTCAAATACAGATCATCCACGCCGAGATTAGAGTATTCATGAGGGATAAATTTTGCCCATGTTACTACATGCACTACCCTTGAGGTTGAAGGCCTTTTCAACTCTTCACTTAAAATTGCAAGGAGCACTAAACAGAAACATTGATGATTAATGACCTTCACTTAATTTTTTTTTTAGGAGAATGCTATTTGCATCTAATTTGGAGATCTAATCTGAGGACTTGATTAAACATAACCATTAGATCCGTAGTGGGCTCTATCTAATATTAGAATTCATAACTAATCCAATGGTTATATTGAAACTATATCATTAAGTTCGCAAATTAGATCCCTCTATCATTTCTCTTTATATATATATATTTGTCATCTTGAATGTTCTTTAGACTTAATTTGTTGACTTAATTAATTGTTCTCCACTATTGAATTAATAGTAGATTTTACTATTAGTTTGAGCCTACTATCACTTCAATGACTATGGTGCATTAAATTATTAAATTAGGTCCAAATAACATTTTTTTAGGGTTTTTTTGGGTATAGGTACATTTTTTTAGACTTATTTGAATGAAAGTGTATGGATAAGTATTTTACTCTATTAAATTCAATTTTAATAAACTTTTGTGATTAGGTACAAAATTCAAATGACTTTTGAAATTTTTTACTTACTTACCCTTTTCTATTCTCTTTATCTCTCTTTATCCCCCTATTTGCTCTCTATCTCTCTTTTTCCATTACTTTTCTCATCTCTCCCCTATTTTCTCTCTCTATCTACCATCGATAATTTATTTTTTTTTCAAATATACAAAGATTTGATTTATTTTTTCATCTCTCTCTCCCTATTTTCTCTCACCATTCTCTTTCTCTCTCTTTATATTAACATTACAATAATTCAATTACACTAATCAGTTATACCAATCAGTTACAATTGTCATATAATACACCAAACAGTTACTCATGCATTCTAATAAATTAACAGTTACACAAAATAATTATACGAAATTATGACACTAACTCAATTTGTCATTCAATTATTTACATAAATAAATAGTTGCACCATTTAGTATCACATCATCGTTATACCCATTATATATACCAAATTTAGTATACTGGTAAAGTCTTTTGTGTAATGATAAACTCAATTTGGTGTATATAATTGGATTAATCATTTTGTGATACTAAATGATATAACTCTTTGATTTATGTAAATAATTAAATAACAAATTGGTTGGTGTTGTAATTCTGTGTATTTATTTAATGTAACTATTTAGTTTATTAGAACACATGAGTAACTGTTTAATATATTATACGATAATTGTAACTAATTTGTATAACTGATTAGTATAATTGTGTTGTTATAACGTTGATATAAGAAGACAGAGAATAAGAAAATAAGGGGAGAGGAAGTGAGAGAAAAAAAATGGGAGAGAGAGATGAAAAAATTAAATCAAATCTTTATATATTTGAAAAAAATAAATTATCAATGTGAGAGAAAAAGAGAGAGATAGGTAGAGAGAAAATAGGGAAAAGAGTAATGGAGAGAGAAAGGAGAGAGAAAATAATTAAGTAATAAATGATTTTTTAGTCTTTTCAAAAAAATACACTTAGAGCCAAATAAGTTTCTTTAATGTAGTTTAGTTCAAATAAGTTTAAATTTTTGCACCGACTTCTAAATTACATTTTTTCACCATTATAAGTCTAAAATTTCATGGCCCAACGGTTGGGCCAGCGTTGCATATGATGGTATGCAGGGAGCCCCTTAGCTCGTCGTGTAGGGTCATGGACTAGGTTTTGAGTCTATCTTAGACTGCAAACCTAGAAAGACCTGGCTATTAAGGTCGGGGACAATTGCCCACCGGATAGGACCACAACCAAACCCATCGGCATGCTTAATTTCACTATGCAAAATAAATAATAAAATAAAGGTCAATTATGAGGCCCATGAGATGAGAATAAAACGGGTAATTTGGAAGCCAGTGCAAAATTTTGGACTTATTTGGTTAAACTACATTAAGGAAAATTATTTATCCCTAAGTGAATTTTTTTAAAAAAAGACTAAAAAGATATTTATTACTCCATTACTCTCTCTACTTCTCTCTCCATTACTCTTTCACTCTCTTTTCCCTATTTTCTTTCTATCTTTCTCTCATATTGATAATTTTTTTTTAAAATGTGTAAAGATTTGATTTAATTTTTTCATCTCTCTCCCCCTATTTTTTTTTCTCTCTCTCACTCCTTCTCCCCTTATTTCCTTATTCTCTCCACTTTTTTCACTCGTTATGTCAATATTACACAACACAATTACACTAATCAATTACATCAATTAGTTACAATTACCTTATAATACATTAAACAGTTACTCACGTGTTCTAATAAACTAAACAGTTATACTAAACAATTATACAAAATTACAACACCAATCCAATTTGTTATTATTATTTACATAAATCAAAGAGTTATACTATTTAGTATCACAATATGATTACACCAATTATATACACCAAATTGGGTTTGCCATTACCCAAAAAACTTTACCATTGTACTAAATTTGATATATATTATTGGTGCAACGATATCACGATACTAAATAGTGCAACTATTTAGTTTATGTAAACAACTGAATAACAAATTGGGTTAGTGCTATAAATTTGTGTAATTGTTTAGTTTATTAGAATGCATGAGTAATTATTTGGTGTAGTATAAGACAATTATAAATGATTGATGTAATTGATTAGTGTAATTGTGTTGTTATAATGTTGATATAAATAGAGAGAGAAAATAGGGGGAGAGAGAGAAATTGTTACAGAAAATAGGGGGAGAGAGAAAATAGGGGAGAGAGATGAAAAAAAATAAATCAAATTTTTACATATTTGAAAAAAAAATTATCAATGATAGATATAGAGAGAAAATAGGGGAGAGATGGGGAAAGTAATGGGAAAGAGAGAGAGATAGAAAGAAAATATGGGAGAAATAGTGAGAGAGTTTAATGAAATCTTTATATATTTGATTAGATATATAACTATCAATCAAGAATTTATAATTTAAGGGAGGGTATTTAGGTAAAATAATTTTTTTTCATTTAAATTTTGTATATAAACGCAATATGTTTTATTAAAATTGAACTTAATAGAATAAAAAACTTATTCATACACTTTTTTTTTCAAATAAGCCTAAAAGATTGTATTTATAGCAAAAAACACCCGAATAAGACTAATAAATAGCATTTAAGTAGCTTGCCTGAGGTCCATTAGTTAAGGCCCAATATATAGCTCCATGGGACATCCTTTCCATTGGCGGGCAGCTCGGCTTGTTGCCAGTAGCTGATTGGGCAGGCTGGCCAAGCCCGAAGCTGACTTTTATCCAGTGTTATGAAAATTGGACCGGACCGGCCGGTGTCCAATTCGACAATTATTGCTATATTATAATGCCGTGTATCGAAATTATACATAAAGAGAATTTAAGCAAAATAATTCAAAAAATTACCTCAATTCTGGTGGATTTTCGGGCCACTGATTAATACACTCTCTCACCTCCTTATCATCAGGCTCAAGAGAAGCAGGCAGCAGTGTTGGATTCTGTATGGTAAAATCAAACACCTCTTTCCAGTCTCTAACATTCTTGGTATGCTCAGTATCATAATACCCCAATGGGTTCACTTCATCTCTCCTCACCTTCTCCTTCTCCTCCTTCCACAGAGCGAAGAACTTCCTCGCCGCGATCTCGAGACTTTTCCGGCGTTTAAATGGCACCCCATGGTTGATCACCTGGAAGAAACCCCAATTTTTGCAGGCCTCGCCTATCTCAGTTATAAGAGGTCTTACAACTGTGGTGTTGGGCTCAGGCGAGTCGGGGGAGTTTAGAATGGAGAGATCAATCAATGGAATACCGTCTGCTTCGACAACAGCGAGTTTTGGGCGGTGCTCGGTGGCTTGGATGAAGGCTGCGTCTACTTCTCCCATGGCTGCAGGGTGAGTGGTGGGGTGACACAAGGGAAGCAATTTAAGTTGTGGCAAAAGCTATACCTTATATAGGGGGTGGTGGGGGTAATTATGTACATTGAACCTGGACACATTTTATCCTGTGATTGAACCAAGTCCATGACAATGAACCTTTTAAGTAAATGTCAAATACAGTCGTGTATGTATTTGCTTTGAAAGAACTTTCTGGTAAAAAAAAGGAGTCTAACTTGGGCTGGACAAATTTTCTTTTTTGGTATAATATGTGAACTGCGGAGAAGTTTATGCCATCGGCATCTGCCATTATTATAAATTTTATGGTGTTTTTTTTATAACTTTTGAAATTTATTTATGTTTTTGTAATAATTTGCGATCCAATTTGGCATCAATTGAGCCATTCAACTACCTGACTTGTAAAACTACCTGATTTTTTGACCCAAAAAAAAATACCCGATTTGTTATAATCACCAATAGCTGATTGATACAAAATTAAGTTCAGTGGTTAAATTGACACAAAAACTATATTTTAGGGGCAACAAATATATAAATTTTTTTGTTGTAAACAAATCTAAAAACTTATATAAAAACTCACAAAACTTGAAGGTATGATACTAAATTTTTTTTGGTCATTGTAATCTTCTGCCCTTAGTTTAGTCAAACAAAAATGTGGCACACATGTAAAGTTCTATTATTTTACTATTTTTATTTTTATAATCAACAATTACATATAGATCAATTAAGATCTACAGTTATAAATTAATTTTAAAATGGTACTACAATTTTTTTGTTGAATATTTACAAAACAAAACGCTCCTTGTGGTGAAGTGGACAACTAGGTGTCACCGTGTGAATATCTTATGTGCAAATGTTGGAGTGGTAAAGAATGCATTGAACCTAGACACATTTGTTACCATGTTTTAACTTTGATGCGTATTAAAATCATTTACGGGTTGTTCTTCTGGTAAACGAGACTGCAAAAAATCTACGGGAAATCAAAGATGAACGAACTGTTTGGTAACTGTTTTTGTCTTGTGTTTTGTGTTATTGTTTTCAATTTTTGTCAAAAATAAAAATAAAATATGTTTGAGTACTATTTTTGTGTTTATATTAGTTGTCTTGGAAAAATGAAAATAAAGACAAAAAATTGGAACAAAAAATTTATGTTCTAAAAAACATGCAAAACACAAAACATGCAGGATTGATATAAATGAGGTCTCAACTTTGAGTCCTGTTAACTATAAAATACCACTTCATATTAGAGAATATATATATGGGTGTTATTGTTCTTTGGTCCTCACAGAACACAGACGAATCGCCCCTCAGCTACTCTTTTCTTTTCTCTGTTTCAGCCCCTCTATTCTCTTCTCTCTCAGCAACGACTCTCTTTTCTCTTCTCTCTCTCAGCAACTCTCTCTCTTCTATCTCAGCAACAGCAAAGAAGAAAACGCCATAACGCCAGCACCACCATCATCGAAGCCCTCTCCAGCGTTGCTTCCATTATCGAAGCCCTAGCGTCCATCGTACAGATCTCTCTCTCTCTCTCTCTCTCTCTCTCTCTCTCTCCCACACACACACACACCGTCGAACGAATCAGCCCCCTTTCTCTATCTCTCTCTCCCTCACAATTGAACTTTAACGACTTCAAGCTCTCTTAGTCGAACTCGATCAAATCAGCCCCTCTCAGTGAAACTCAAACGAAGCAGCCTTGGCATTTAGGTTTTCGTTTTTGCTTAGCTAGAAGGTTGAATTGTGATTTTTGGGTTTAAAATTAGTGTTAGTGTTTTCTCTTTGAAATTGAGATTGATTGTTATATGCCCATAAAGTATTCGATGAATTGCCTGAAAGAATGTATATTGGTCCTTGTATGTGTGTTGTGTGTGTTTTGTATGAGAGTGTGTGTGTGTGTGGTCTGTCTGTGTGTGTTCTGTGAGTGCGTGCAGTCCAGATTTGATTTTTTCCGTGCTGAGAAGTTTTCATTACAGGCGAGATTGTTGCTGCTTCATTTAGGGTGCAGGATCAAAGCTCAGGGCTTCAAATCTGGACAATGGATGATTTTTAGAATGCTGAGCATAGTATGTTTGATTTATTGTGTAAGTGAACAAATTGTTCCCATATGAAAATTTGAGCATAATATGTTTGATTATTGTTCCCATTACTGATGGTTGTTGATCTGCTGTTGCTGGTTGCTGATCTGCTGCTATTGGTTGGGTCTATGTGTTAATAGTGTGTGGCTCTGTGTGTGTATTGTGTCTGTGTTAGTGTGTGTATTTGTTTTGGGATTGTGTTGAAATTGGGATTGGAATTGGAAAAGAATGTGATTTTCTTTGTGGGTTTTGATTCATTTCCCCCATCTTTAATTTCAAGATGAAATTGAATGGTGTGAATAATTTCCCTTGGAAGCATTGGTATATCACATGAGGATCTTCCTGTTATGGCAAGATTTCTCCTTATGCAAGATCTGTTGATGCTGGTTGCTTCTGCTTATGATGCTTAGTCTGAGTTACTGTTGTGCTGTGGCTGATGGTTTTCAATTCTGGGCAGTGGCAACAGATCTGAGCTTGAAGGAGAAGTGTTGTATATAAAGTCATTTATTTGGTGGCTGTTGCTTGTTCATGGGTGTCTAAAGCTGCTGGTTCTCATTGAGTTCTTCGAATGGAGCTCTGCCATAATGCCCTTATGGTTGGGTGTTTTGAAGGATTAAAGCCAATAGTGGTGATGTAAATGGGGATTGAAATTTATCTTTCTTTTTTTTATTCGTGTAAAATTCTCTGATTCATTCAATAAAATTTCTTTTTAAAAAAAAAACTTGAAGTAGTTATCGAACATGTTTTTTGTTTTTATTCTCATAATTTGATAGACACAAATGACAGTCAAACATATTTTTTGTTTCAGTGTTTACCACAAAATATAGACAAAAATTGTCTCTGTTTTTTATTGTTTTGAAGACGCGAAAATAAAAACGTTACAAAACAATCCCGAAGATTACAAGTAAATTTTTAACCCAAAGTTAGAGAACATGTGAATCAAACTATTTCCTCCGATATTCTAACAAATCGAAAGACCACTAATGATGACTCGAGGACCATTCTATTAAGACAATGTAAATAGGAAGATCTTTGCTTGAAAAGGTAGATGATTGTAATTGTCTTCTTCCTTAAAAAGCAATAAAAATATCCAGAGCAAGGTGAACATGGCTTCTGTTACAAGCAAAGGCAAAAATAAAATTAAATGTGACAATCGAATCAAATCGCATCGTTTTGCATTTTGATGGTATTGTTTTAAATTGTTATTTAATAATAGTTGACTTTTATTTAATCGTTTATCATTCATATAAGATGTCCTAATTATAACCAAGTTTTTTCAACAATCGTGTTGTGTTTGGATTGGTCAACTCAACTTGTGAAATAGAAATCTAGGAATATTGCTCCCATCTTTTTTCTAACAAATTCATCACTAACAAACCTCCTGTAAACCAAAGTATTCCACAATCTACCATATCAAAGAAAGAAAAGCATGAAAGAAAATCAATATTTCCTATACTGAATACCAGCTAAATGGGTTTGTCGTGTCAAAATTGAGTTATTCGTACCTGAAATTAATTCACCTCGTTTATTATTTGCGTTAGTAGATCGTACGCAAATTTTTAACAATAACTTGTTAATTTCATGTTGAATTCATACGACAACAACCTATGGTGACGAAAATTGCCTCTTACATAGAATGCATGCTTCAATTATTGAAATTATCATTCTAGATGAAGATTCGCAGTGAAGGCTGATGGCATATAGAGTAACACAATACTTATTCAGGGTTTCTCCTGTTAAAATTAGATTAATAACTTTTGAGAATAATCGGATTCGTTTATGCATGATTTGTATTAGCACATCGTATAATTTCAACTTGACATCATGAATTATTCAATTACAACTCATTATTTCGTGTTAGATTTATGCATCACATCATAGACTACAACCCCCAAGTAGAATAGGAGAGAAGAAGGAAAATCAACAAGCAACTTTTATTTCAATATCCATCTTGCTATATAGGAGTATCCATTATTTAAAATTATACAGAGGATAATATTTTATAGGAAGGCAAAGCTAAGACACTCGTATTGATGATGTTTGCACAAAGACAATTCTTCCCTTTAACCAGATTTCTCTGAGAGCCTGAAATGAGAGATTTGAATATTTTCAACATCAAGTTTTTGGAAATTACTGCGTTTTTGGGTTGCAAAAAACTTCCCCCAGTTATATGGCTTATACTTGGCAAGGTTTTGATCATCTGTCAACTCTTCCAAGGGTTCCACAATGGTGTAGTGAGCGGGGTTGAAGAATAATGGGATGGAGATCCTGTCTTTCTCAAAATTCACTAATGCCCTGTGCTCCACACTTTCATACCTATCATTACTCCAAACCTGTACATATGTTCACACACACACACACCATATGACATTGTTAGAACAACAAACCTCTCATTTTTGTACGAGTAGTCTAATAGTAGCGCAATCAAACATTTTTATTCAATGAACGCTATTCATGAGTAGTTAATGCCAAGTTTCTAATTGTATCAAGCCAATGGAAATCATTCAAGAAAATTAACTCATACTTATCAAATTAGATGTAAAATATTTCTAATTAATTCTAGAAGATAGTCGAGAATTTTAGGTCAGTTTTATTTACGTAATCACTTAGTTCAATGAATTTCATCATGTTTGTGTATGTCTGCAAATTTCTCATAATACAATAGTATAGAGTGTAATTTGGTAAACTTGAGAGGGTCATGGAACTAAAATATCGTTCTTCACTTATAGTTATAAAGCAAAATTTTAAGAACTTGATGGCCACGGACACCTAGGCCAGGGCTCCATCTCATATTATCAAGAACATGTGTGGTTGCAACAAAATCAAACCAATTATGGTAAACATAGAATTGCTCCACGAGACGTCCAGGTCTTTGACTCGTACGTCTCAACCTGTTCCCAGCTTGGTGCACAATCATTTGTGATGGATCGACAAACAAGAGGGGCAAGCACGCACAAATGTAGATAGATCTTTGTTATTCGTAATTGTTATAGCGACCATCAATACTAGAACTTATAAAGTTTCTAAGTTGTTGGCGTAGTACATTTTACATGACTATGACTCAATTATATGATTCTAAGTCACTCGTATGCATGGACTACGGTACTGGGAATTTTAGCATCAAAGTGAATTCATTTAAAAACTTCTTGAATGATACCTGAATAATGTCACCAACATTGATAATATAAGCATCATGAGTAGGTTTGACCTGAATCCACTCTCCATCTGTTTTTCGCTTCACTTCGAGTCCTCCAATGTCATCTTGAGCGAGGATGGTTAGGGCACTGCCATCCTTGTGTCGGCCAACCCCAAGAGCAAGGTGAGGAATGGGACAAGGCGGATAGTAGTTGAGCCGGATGAAGCTGGCTTGGTCTTTGAAGAATCCGTTCAGACGATTAGCTGGCAGGCCTAAGCTCAAAGATATGAGTTCCAACAATTTGTAAGCTAGTTTTTGCACTTCTTCAACATAGTGTTCGCATTCTTCTCTGGAAGAACCAAATCTATTAGTAAAGTAAATAGACCAATTTTGTGAAATAGTTGTGGGCCTAGAGGAAGGCCTCCTCTTCTTTTTTTAGTTCAGCAGTTAAGGGTGTTCGGACCAATTTACGTGTACCTCGACTAATCCTCTTTCCAATCTGATCAAATACAGGTCATCCACGACGAAATTAGAGTATTCATTAGGGATAAATCCCACCCGTGTTACTGCTTGCACTACCCTTGGGGTTGGAGGCCTTTTCAACTCTTCACTTAAAATTATGAGCACTAAACAGAAACATTGGTGATTAATGAACTTCAATTAATTTTTTTTAGGAGAATGCTATTTGGATATAATTTGAAAATCTAATCTGGAGACCTGATTAAATATAACCATTAGATCGGTAATGGGCTATATATATATATATATATCGTCGTCTTAAATATTCTTTAGACTTAATTGTTCTCTACTATTGATTAATAGTAGATTCCACTATTAGTTTGAGCTTGCTGTCACTTCTATGACTATGGTGAAATAAATTATTGAATTAAGTACAAATAACATTTATTTACCGTTTTAAGGCAAAAATTTCATGGTCCAACAGATGGGCCAGCGTTACATATGATGATCTGTGGGGAGCCCCTTAGCTCGTCATGTAGGATCATGACTAGTTTTTGAGTCTCTTAGATCGGAGACCTGGAGAGACCTGACTGTTAAGGCCCGGGATAGTTGCCCACCGGATTGGGCCACACCCAATCCATCGGCATTCCTAATTTTATAATGCAAAATGAACACTAAAATAAAGGTCAATTATGAGGCCCATGAGATGAGAATAAAAGTGATAAATAGAATCTAAATAGCTTTGCCACAGGTCCATTAGCAATGGCTCAATAGATAGCTCCATGGGACATCCGTTCCATTGGCGGGCAGCTCGGCTTGTTTGTCAGTAACTGATTGGGCAGGCTGGCCAAACCCGAAGCTGACTTTTATCGAGTGTTATCGAATTGGACCGGACCGACCGGTGTCCAGTTCAACAACTATTGCCATATTATTAAAGGAAAAGATAATGCCGTGAATGGATAGTATACATCAAATAATACAGCAGTATTCTTTGAATGTTTGGTAAAGTGGGTGGGACCATTAATTCAACAAACGCACTCATTTGGTGCAAAAAATTCCGAAGAAATTTTGGTGAGTTGGCAGTGTCACTGTTATCAAAATTGACAGCAGCTTTGGATACCTTTAATGATTAAAGTTCCTCTGGTATTCTTGCTTAGGAAATTATTTATCACAAAATAAAGAAGGTTATGAACAATAATATGCTTAGATGCATTTAAACAAGTAGTGATTGATAACCGGCGAAACATATTCATGATATTAGGTTGGATTTATGTTCATTTGTTATGTACCAAAAATAAAAAATAAAAAAAAGAAAACTTGTTGGCACGGATGCCTCGGCCTCCTTTTTGGAGAGCATTGTCAAAGTCATCAATTATATGATACGATAGAACCGACTGTTGATCTATAGTTGGGTTTGGACTAATCCGATCAAGAAGTTCTTGTGGGAAAGATTTTAGGTGAGCCAAACCTTCCCAAAAATAAAGATGGAGGAAGCAGGGAGGTGGCCCGGGAGTAGCAGAGCCTCGAGAGAGATATCACCAAATTAGAACAGTTATACACTCACTTTTGCGAGGAAGTCGACCAATCTTGGCTTCAAGTGAGATTCATTTTACATATGTGAATCTCTCGCTAATTAATGACCGCTGATCCGTCAAGAAAAGAATTTAACAAAAATAATTCAAAAAGTTACCTCAATTCTGGTGGATATTCGGGCCACTGATTAATATACTCTTTCAGCTCCTTATCATCAGGCTCATGAGAAACAGGAAGCAGTGTTGGATCCTCTACGACCAGATCGAGCACCTCTTTCCAGTCTCTAACATTCTTGGTATGCTCAGAATCATAATACCCCATAGGGTTCTCATCATCTCTACTCACCTTCTTCTTCTCCTCCTTCGACAGAGCGAAGAAATTCCTCGCTGCGATCTCAAGGTTTTTCCGGCATTTAAATGGCACCCCATGGTTGATCACCTGGAAGAAACCCCAGTTCTTGCAGGCCTCACCTATCTCGGCTATAAGAGGTCTTACAGCTACGGCGTCGGGCTCAGGCGAGTCGGGAGAGTTTAGAACGGAGAGATCAATCAGTGGAATACCGTCTGCTTCAACAACAGCGAGTTTTGGGCGGTGCTCGGTGCTTTGGATGAAGGCTGCGTCTACTTCTCCCATGGCTACAGGGTGAGTGGTGGGTGACACAGGGGAAGCAGTTTAAGTTTATGGCAAAAGCTATGACAATAACCTTGTAAGTAAACGTCAAACATGGTGTCGTGTATGTATTTGCTTTGAAAGAACTTTCTGGAGAAAAAAAGGCTGGACAAATTCTCATTTTTGGTGTCATATGTGAACTTCGGAGAAGTTTATACCATCGGTATCTGCCATTATTATCAATTTTATGATATTTTTTTTTATAACTTTTGAAATTTATTTATGATTTTTATAATAATTTACGATCAATTTTAAAAAACATTATTATAGTTAAAAATCACAAAAAGTGATAACTTGGCTAAAAAAAAATTGTACCTCAACAACAAATTACACATGTAGCCCCTAAAATATGATTTTTGTGTCAATTGAGCCACTGAACTCAATTTTGCGTCAATTAGTCATTGGTGATTTTGACGGTGCTTAATAGAATGGCTAGATTGCTACAAATCAAATAATTGGATGGCTCGATTGACGTTAAAAAAAAAATCTAGTCCTTCTATTAAGCCCTAGAAGGACTAATACTTATATAATCCTTCTAGTGCTAAAAAAAAAAATCTAGTCCTTATATATATATATATATATATATGTTGTAGATAAATTTGAAAACTTGTATAAAAACTCATAAAAGTTGAAGGTACGATACTGAATTTTATTTGGTTATCTTAGTCTTCTCTCCAAACTTTTAGTCTAAAAAAAATGTGGTATACATGTAAAGTTCTATTATCTTACTATTTTTATTTTTATGATCAACAATTACATATAAATCAAATTAATATCTACGGCTATAAATTAATTTTAATATGGTACTAAAATTTTTTTGTTGAACATTTATAAAGGCAAAACGCTCCTTGTGGTGAAGTGGACAACTTGGTGTGACCGTGTGAATATCTAATGTGCAGGTGTTGGAGTGGTTGAGTATTTCATTGAACCTGGACACATTTGTTACCATGTATTAACTTTGTTGCGTATTAAAATCATTTATGGGTTGTTCTTCTTGTGAACGAGACTGCAAAAAATCAATGGGAAATCAAAGATGAAGATTGCAAGTAAATTTTGAACCGAAAATTAGAGAACTTTGTGAATCAAACTATTTTTGTTATAATATTTATGGAATACTAGTAATACCAAGAAAAAAGTTATTTTTAAAGTTAATTTCGCTCAACAGCACATATTAAACATAAATCAAGATTAAGTCAGTAGTTTTACAACAACTTCAGTTAAATTAAAATAACTTGGGCCACTAGAGGAAGAGAGACGAAGAGTACCATCCGTCTCCGGATTGTTAGACCTAATAGTTTTAAACAGATCGAATAGAAAACTAACTTTGACTCACGGAATTCATAACAATAATTCTTGATAGATATATATATATAGTGAAAATTTTCACAAGAAGAATACCAAAAATACCGAATATAATCACGAACTTAATTCTCAATAGATTGCAAATAGATTTTTCAGAGAGTGAGAGATGCTGTAAACGTGAATAAGAGATGAGGTCTCTCAAGTAATTTATATCCCCCTCACTGATAACCAACTGCCTCATATTAAAATAATCAGTAATCATTCCCTTCCATCAAGGTAACTTCTAGGAAACTGATTATTCGTTAAACATGTTTCCTTATCCCTAGAACACCACTTGCACAAGGAAACTATCCACTAACCTAACCAACATGTGTTAGGTAATTTAAGTAGGATATCCTTATCCCAAAATCCAAGTCTGTACCTTGTTAATTAAGGTTCACATATGGGTCCCATTAAATAGGTTCCAACATTCTCCCACTTGGACCGAATTAACAAGGAAATTGAAAGAAAATAATAATAATAATAGTAATACTTATATTTTGAAAATAAGCAAATATTTGGGTTCGGTAAAGTGATGCGCGCACTTTATCAAATTATCCCAATATAAGTGAGCTTAACTTTATTCTTGATTACTTGGGCCTAGTAATATGAACCATAGCGGATATACACCAACAAATAGCATATATCCTTTCATGATCACAATATCACCAAACTCTCATAAACAATACTTTAGGCTAATTTTCTTTATGAATGGATTTCCCATAAAATCCATTTGTTGGTCAAAAATTTTCTGCTAAGAATATATTCGTACCACAAAAATATAATAAGCATAATAATATAATAATGTGATACAATAAACTGATAGTGTATCCAAATGTGCACATATAGTACATCAAGTAATAACATTGTTCATTAGACCCATATGATCCATATGATCTTTGTACAATCTTGAAGCTATAGCTTTGGTCATTGGGTCTACCACCAAAAGTACAGTGCTGATGTACTTAACTGACACCTTATTTTCATCACATTTTTCCTTTATGACAAGGTATTTAATATCCATGTGTTTGTTACCATTAGATACCTTGCCATTATTTATTGAGGAAACGCCCCTGCATTATCACAAAACATCCTTATAGGCTTCAAAATAGAATCAACAACCTTAAGCCTAATGATAAAATTTCTCAACCAAATTGTCTGTGTAATCGTCTCATAACATGCAACTAACTCAGCCTCCATAGTAGAAGCTATTGTCAATTTCTGTTTAGTACTTCTCCAAGAAACTGCACCATTAGCAAGCAAAAATATATATCTTGATGTTGATCGCTTGCTGTTTGGGCATCCTACAAAATCGGAATCTGTATATCCGACAACCTTTAGAGAATCATATATGCTATATGTAAGCATATAATCTTGTGTTCTTTACAGATATCTAAGCACCTTCTTTGCAGCTCTCTAGTGATCTAAACCTGGGTCACTCTGGAATCTGCCCAATACACCAACTACAAATGCAATGTCGGGTCTAGTGCAAATTTGGGCATACATTAAAGTCTCAACCAATGACGCATAAGGATATGCTCTCATCTACTCCCTTTCAAGCTCATTTCTAGGAGATTGAGACTTACTTACTTTGTCACCTTTAGACATAGGTGCAAGGTTTGGTTTGGAGTTTTTCATACCATACCTCTCCAACATTTTCTTAATATAGGTCTTTTGAGATAGATAAAGTTTTCTTCTAGATCTATCTCTGTGAACCTCTATGCCTATGACATACGAGGCCTCACCCAGATCCTTCATTTCAAAATGACTGGAGAGAAAATGCTTAGTCTCAATAAGCAATGCTAAATCACTACTAGCGAGCAAAATATCGTCTACATATAGGAATAGAAAAATGAATTGACTCCCACTGATCTTAAGGTATATACAACAATCAACGACATTTTCTACGAAACCAAATGAAGAAATCACATCGTTGAACTTAAGATACCATTGACGGGAAGACTGCTTAAGTCCATATATAGACTTATTTAGCTAGCAAACCATATTACTCTGTCCCTCTGGTTGTTTCATATACACCTCTTCTTCCAGATCTCCATTGAGAAAAGATGTTCTCACATCCATCGGTGAAGCTCCAAGTCAAAATGAGCCACCATTTCTTAGAAACAGGTGAGAAAGTCTCATTGTAATCAATGTCTTCTTTTTGAGTGAACCCCTTGGCAACAAGTCTGATCTTATGTCATTCTACCTTTCCTTTACAGTCTCTTTTGGCCTTTTAGATCCATTTACAATTGACTGTTGTGGCACCAGGAGGTAGTTCAACTAAATTCCAAAAATTATTTTTATCCATTGAGTTCAACTCTTCTTTCATGGCATTATACCAGTTGGAGGAATTCAAACTATTCATGACTTGTGAGAAAGTAGTTGGATCATCACACTTTCTAATATCAAAATCGAACTCTTGAAGGTACACAATATAATCTGATGGAATTGCAGATTTCGTAACCCTAGATGACCTCCTTAAAGTTTCTTCTTGTCCCGCTACACGTGAAGGTGAAGCAAGATTCTCAGTGACAGTGGGTTCAATTACAGATGGTACATTAATAGTTGACTCATCCTCCATCAAATTATTATGAATAATGGAATGAGGAATCATTACCAACTCACCTAAACTTTGCATAGAAATTGGATGTTCCTCAAAAATAATATTTTGAGGTTGTATACTCCCACTAACTTGGTCATTTTCAAGAATTTTTGCATTCTGTGTCTCTACAATCCGTAGAGAATGATTAGGACAATAAAATCTATATCCCTTGGACTTCTCTGGATAACCAATGAAATAGCCACTTATGGTTCTAGGGTCCAACTTTTTCTCTTGGGAGTTATACACCCGAGCCTCAGCTTGACAACCACAGATGTGTAGATGTGCTAAACTAGGTTTTCTACTTGTCCATAACTTAAAAGGTGTTTTAGGGACAGCCTTAGTAGGAACCCTCTTTAGAAAGTACACATCGGTTTTCAAGGCATCACCCTAAAAAGAGACTAGGAGAGTGGAGTAACTAATCATACTCCTAACCATATCCATTAGTGTTCGATTCCGCCTTTCTACTACTCCATTTTGATCAAGAATACCTGACATGGTATATTGTGTCACTATACCTTGTTCCTAAAGGAATCGAGCAAATGGACCTAAGTGTTGTCTGGTTTCAGTGTCCCTACCATAATACTCACCACCCCTATCCGACCTCATGATTTTGATCTTTTTGTCAAGTTGTAGCTCTACCTCTATTTTGAAATTCTTGAAACAAGAGATACAAACAACTGTATTTGTCTATAAAAGTGATGAAATATTTATGGATTGTAAAACACGGGGGCGTGAATGGCCCACAAATATCTGTATGTATGATATCCAACACATTCGAGCTTCTTATGACACCTTTCTTAAACTTGTTAGTCTGTTTACCCTTAATACAGTCTACACAAGTGTCAAAATCTGTGAATTCAAGACTTGGTAAGATTCTATCATTTACCAATCCCTTGATTCTCCTTATAGAGATGTGTCCTAATCTCATGTGCCATAAAGTAGAAGAATTTTCATTCAACATGCCATGTTTTAATCCACAATGTTCTTTATCATGCAGAGATAACAAAGATGTTGCAAAAGATGTATCTAGAGATAATTTAAATAAATCAAGTACCTTCAGTGTTATTGGAAAATTCTGGTTGAATCTATCTGTCATAATTCAAAAAACTACCTTAATTCTGGAGGATTCTCAGGCCACTTGTTAGTATACTCCTTCAGCTCATTGTCATCAGGCTCGTGAGAAACAGGAAATATTGTTGGATTCTGTACAAAAAGATCAAACACCTCTTTCCAGTCCCTAATATTCTTTGTATGCTCAGCATCATAATACCCTGTAGGGTTCACCTCATCTCTCCTCACCTTCTGCTTCTCCTCTTTTGGCATAGCAAAGAACTTTCTCGCTGCGATCTCGAGGTTTTGCCGGAGTTGTAATGGTACCCCATGATTGATCACCTAGAAGAAGCCCCAGTTCTGGCAGGCATCACGTATCTCAGCCATGAGAGGTTCTATGGTGTTGGGTTCCGCCGAGTTGGGAGAGTTTAGAACGGAGAGATCAATCAGTGGAATGCCATTGGCTTCGACGACGGCAAGTTTGGGGCGGTGCTCGGTGGGTTGGATGAAGGCTGGATCTAGTTCTCCCATGGCTAGGAGTGAATCCCTTGCTGCGTTGCATGTGTCTTGGGTTTGTGTGGATATTTATGTAAAGAAAAAGGCATGCCCGGCTCAACAGTACAGCCAAAAATAAGCATAAAACCTTAAACAGATAAAGTAAATAATATTTGAAGAGTTATTGATTTATATGGAGCCCAAATGAAATTATAACATATTATTTAGAGTTTTATTAGGACTCAAATGACTTGACACTAAATAAAGAAATTCAAGTCAGCTGTCATGTCATTTACGCTCTAAATTTGATCTCAAAATTTGGTCAGTGCAGTATTAGTGGAATAGATAATTATCTAATGGATAGTTATTAGCTTGTGCAGGCCCACTTCCTTATTTGTCAACATAGAATAAAATAAACATATGACCTTTAAATTATGACTCTTGTGTCAATTAAGTCTTTGAATCTTTTTTTGTGTCAATTAGATCCTGAACTCTCTAATTGTGTCAATTGAACCCTTCGATTTAACTCCGTTAGAGTGTGTCACTCACGTGATCATATGACACAAAAAAATATTAGAACTCAATTGACACAATTAACAAGTTTAAGGGCTTAATTGACACAATTAAAAAGTTTAAGGACTTAATTGATAAAAAAAAATCATAATTTGAGGGTTATATATTTAGTTTATTTAGCAACCACATGACAATGTTGAGATGTTATTATCGTTGCAATGAATATTTTTTCCAGTTTTAGGCCCTAAGATCCCAAATTTTAGAGTTTAATAATGTAGTATAGATCAAAAATTAAAAACCGCTACAATTTAGCTCAACAAAAAGCATATGAAAGATTAAGTAAATAAAACAAAATTTAAAATTTAGATTAAAAATTGCAGTCCATCTTACACATATACATATATACATTAAGTCAAGGACAAAAAATGGTTAACACTGCGGTAAAAAAAATATAATAAACATTTCTCTCTCCCTATTATAAAAATAAAATAAACATATCTTCTATTGCTTTCAAACTCAATTTTGTTCTCGTTTAAACACAAAACACCGACTAATTAAAATTGTGGATTCTCATAAAGTATTCACAATAAAAATTAATTAATATCAAAATAGAGGGAGGGAGGGTAGCAATGCTATTGAGACATAATTTATGGACATAATGAGTTATCACCAATGAAATGATGGTGAATTCATTTAATGTTACAATGAGATCCATCATTAAATATATTTCATTATCATTTCGTTACTGACAATTCATTAACCATAGCATTAGTGTTGTTACTACTATTCCACGTTTGAACTTGGTCAGTAAACGACATAGTTGTTTACCTTTCGGAAATATACTTGTTTTGGAAGAATTTGAGATAAAAACAATCGTTCCTCGCGACAAAAACAAGGTGAGTGTTTTTATACCTTATTTAAATATAGTTGACTGTATGACCATTTTTACGTGGCTTATGTGACTAATTATATAAAATTATTTTAAATTTTCATTCTACTTAATTTAATACAAAAATAGATAATTTTCTAATAATAATCCGGTCGAAGTGGGATGGGGATGAGGGCTTGCAATACGGCCTGGAGGGGGGGGGGCCGGGGCCGGGAGTGGAGGTGGCGGGAAAATGATGGCTTTTTTCTTAACTATAAAAATTGAATTCATGTAACATGAAAACGATTTTTCATTCTTTAGCCGAAAAAATATGTTGTCATGAAAGTAGTTATGAACCTTATAAACCATCCCACGAAGATAGTGAAGGGAGGGCACCAATATTGGTAGAAAAGAATTAAAGGTGGTAAAATTGTGATAAAAGAGATAAAAAAAAAAAATTACCGTGTATTAAGCGGGGCGCCTCTAATTTTAACAAACTTTATTTTGAAAAAATCCAATATTTTAAAGAATGTTAATATATACTGGTAACCAGCTGGCTAGCCCGGCCGGTTTTTTCACTTTCTTCTGTAGTATTGTTGTTGATTTCTTCGACGCGTTTGTCATTATTTGTTATGATTAGGGACGGTATTGGACCGGGTAAAATTGGTTATTTGTCTAAAATTATTCTGTTTGGACCGGGTGGATGATATGTATTGTATGGTAGATATATACGAGAATATTCGTATAGACATGTATGGAGATGAAGACAAAGATGAAATGACACTTACCCCGCCCCGCTTTACCAATTATTATTATACTATATATATGTTGCCATGAATACAAATTTAAATATTATTGAATGATTTTTTCTTTTAAAAATTATTTTTTTTTTGATTTTTTTTTTTATAGTTTTAGCTTGTAAGAGTGTAGATCTTTGTGTTTTTATATATTTTTTATGTTAGATTATGTTATATTGTGTTGTATGATATTGTGTTGGATTTATAAGAGAGATAAACTTTTAATTATAGTATGTTGAATTATATTGTAAATAAGATTTTAATTATATTATGTTGTAAATGACAAATTTTTAATTATATTATGATATTCTATAATTATGTTGGATTATTTAGAATGTTAGATTTATTTAAAATTTTGAATTATGTTGGCTTAGGCTTAGGTGAGTAAGGTGGATTGGGGTGGGGGCGGAGGTGAAGGCCGGGGACGAGGTGGGGGTAGGGATTACAAATTTACTCACAGACGGGGATAGAGATAAAAATTATACCCGTTAACAGAGTGAACTAGGGGATGAATGAAATTTTTTTAAGCCGGTACGAGGATGGAGACTATACCTCCTGCCCCAGTTTCGATCCACTAATATCTCTAGTTATAATGGCGGGAATCCCACCTTATTTTGGAATGGGTAAATTACACTTTATCCCTTCAAACTATTATTTTTATTTTATTTTGTACTCTTAATTATAATTTTTTTTATTTGGTACTTTAAAGTATCAATTTTACTTAATATCATTATAATAAATAACAACTATCAATTCTTTAATGGTAAATATACATATAAATGGTCAATACTACTAATAAGCAACAAAATAAACACTCACCTATAACCTCTTCTCTCGAGCTCTTCACCTTTCCATTTGGTTTTTAAGTTGATACCTTGCAAAATATGGTGAAATCTACTGCACACGTGTAGGTCAAAAATAAAGAAAAATATTCATTCATGACTTTACCCTTTTTTAATCTTTAAATTTTCTTCCTCTAACCGACATTCTTTTTCTTTCAAACAATAATTTAGTTATAAAAGAGGACAAATAAAGTAGTACTAAGCACTTGACGGAAAATTCTTTTAGGTTTTCCTCCCTCCTTCAATAGATTTTCAAGTTTGTTCTTCTAATCCGTCAAAAGATTGGTAATTGTTATCTATTGGAGTGATATAAAATAAAATTAATATTTTAAAGTATAATATAAAAAATTTTATAATTAAGAATATAAAATAAAATTAAGATAATTATTTAAAATATAATTTAAATTTTATAAGGGTTAAAGTTTAATTTACACTTTTGGAATCTAGTTGGACGACGTACGTGGTGCAAAATTTATTGGCATGAGTCTGCTTCTTGGGAACCATCTTTATTTTAAAATTTTGGTTGGATTCGTCGGGAGACGTCTTCAAGTGGTTTTCTTTGGATTTTGATGTGGACGATTTCGCTTTTACACAAGACTTGGTTGATGTTGTCTTGCTTTTTGTTTACACTAAGAGCAATGATATTAAGATTTAATTTATTGATATAATTTGTTGACTTAATTTATTATGATATTTGAATTTATTGTAGACCCTATTCAATATTATAAATTAATGTTGATCTAATGATTTCTATGAAATCACATCATTATGTTAAGAAATAAGGTTAAATTTTTAGGTCCAAATAATATTACTCTTACAAAATCACGACCGGCTCAACAAAAAATGAGACCTAAACAAGTTTTTTCAAAATTCATAACAAAACATATATAATATTACTATAGGCTTATTTAATACTCAAGAATAAAATCACCCTACTAAAAATAAATGACTTTTCCAACATAAAATATTAAATTTTAGGAATATTTAGTGTATTGACACCTGACCTCAAGTGCATTAAAAAAATGTCACATTATAGAATTTAAGGAAAGGTACGAGATGATCAACCATAATCATATTTTAAAAGAAATGGAGAAACTAATTGGAAGTTACGTGGTAGGAACCATTGGTGGAAACAAAGCCATCAAAGATAGTAGCTATAAAAGGATACATAGTGGAAAAGATAAAAAAAAATACACTCAAACCCCTACAAAGTTCATGATCTAGACATTTTTAGTAATATTTTTAAATTAATGTTAGGAGATAGTTATTGCTGCAATCAAAGCTGATTATTCACTCTCCTTATAAACGAAGTCTTATCGATTAAATTAATAAATGAATTCTCTTTTATTAGTTTTTGTACTGTGTGCTTATTTATTATTTCTCATCAAAAGGTACAGTTGCAGATCCTACATAGACAATTTGATCTTTTTTAGATGAAAACATTAGAGAGTATATCTGATTATTTTTTGCTGGCGTCGGTTATTATCAATAAAATGAGAGCCAACAGCGAGGATGTAAAAAGTCTCCAGGTTATAGAGAAAAATATAATAAAGAATCATGAAAGACAAGATGAGTTTGGAGAAAATAGTCTAAAGGATCCTCAAATCTCATGTTTGGATTGAAAATTCAATCCCGATTTTTTCAAACTTGGCCCAAAAATTAAACTCATGATCATGAATTTCATCAAACCTAGGGAGGGGGGTGGGTTTGGAAAGATGAGTTAAGGGGTTAAAGATACAAAAAATAATTATACCCTTTAACATTTGTATGAATTGGATTGATCAAGGGTGAAATAGTCATTTATATGACAAATAGTTGTTAATAATTATGATATATATGTGGGTTCCACATGTGTATGGACTAGATTGAATGTTGAATTTCATCTTTGTAAAAAGAGATTTGAGTTTGAAAGAGTTTGAAGAAGTTAATTCAAACCCCTCCCCAAAATTCATCCAAACAAGCCCTTAGTGGTGGCAGATTTTTTGGACAGTGTGGTACGCATTTTTGAAAGATTTT